CAGCCGCTTGTGTATAATCGAGTGTGGCCAAGTTGAACACGTGACTGCAGCATGAACATAGGTCGCCATTATAGTTGTATAACATTGGGAGGAATTCATATCCCCAGGACAGCCGAGAGTTGCAACACAAATATTTGTGGAAATAGGGTCGTGTCGGAAGCCCCCAGATATTTCCACTGAAATAGGTCAAATTACTTCTCTTCACCATTAGGATCGCAAAATTGTATTTCTTAAAATTCTTTGTCCAATTTCCCCCTTAGCATTTCTTTGTCTGTATTGAGATTACAGCCCAGGGTCTATCTACTCTTTCCGCAGGTAATGAAATATGAATGGATACTTATATACGGTTAAAATTCACCGAAACTTTTGAATATAAAATAACTTGAAATGGCTCTAAAGTCTCTATGTTGGTGGTTTTAATTTATTTAAGTGATACTGCCGAATGCACATATCTAGGAGCGTTCCATATATCTACAACACATGGTATAGATTCAACAGGGGTCACGCAACCGACCCCTGATGCAGTATTGTCAGAAATTACGTTCGAGTGAGTGAGTATGGTTTTGCGCCGCTTTTGGAAATATTCCAGCCATATCACGGCAGGGGGCACCTGAAATAGGCTTCACACGTTTCACCCATGTGGGGAATCGAACAAGGGTCTTCGGCGTGACAAACGAACGCTTTAACCACTAGGCTACCCTACCGCCTCTCTTCCGCACTCCGGGCACACGCACTTCCACTGTTCCACAGAAGAAGTCACTTTGTCAATGAGAGTACGAGGAAGTGAGAGGGTGGAGTTTACAGACGTATTAAACAGAATTGTAGTTATCTCAAAGCATGTCAAGTAATCAGTTTGAGATATGACGTGGGAATGGTGTACAACACACATATTTAATCCAACTACGACAATCACTCTTAAAGTGATCAATGAAAGGACCACATCGGACTACGTCATTATATGTCCGCTTCAAGAACCACATCGAGGCTTAATTGTCCAGCAGATTTGTTCTACATCGAGGCTTGTCCGGCAGATATGTTCTGCCTCAACTGGGTTGGGTCAAGATTGCATGTTTTAAGGGATTTCTCACATTTTTATAGGACTAGTGTAGTTGTAAAGTATTAGCAACTGAAAGTAAACAAAAAATGGGAGTGATCTGTGTTTAATGCAGCTCGCACGCAAGGGAATTGCATTTCTATCCCCGGCAGCCACATGTGGAATGAACGTCTACGCGATGCAAGTCGTAGAAACAATGTGGAGAAACAACGAGCGCGTGATGACAAACCAAGGATCATTATCAGGGTGAATTTGGGATTCGAATCCGCTTCCAACGGCGTGAGTGAGTTGTGTTTAACGCGGCTTTGAACAGTATTTGAGTTATCTATTGATGTGGGAGAAATCCCGAAGTGATGCAGCTCTTAGAGGCGTACCACTTGTGTGAAACCCACGAGCATTGGTATGGTGCTGATAGCTGATAAACCTATAAACATAATCAAGGCACGGCGGGATTCGAACCCACGATCATAGACTTCCAAGTGCCCAAGTGAGGTAACTCTGCACAGCAAACTGTGGCGCCTTAGACGACTGGGCCACTCTGCACTTAGCAAAATGAATAGCGGTCAAGTCAAACCAGACCACAAGTACCGATTAAGACAATTCGAAATATGTGGTCTCTGCCACCAGACTGTACTAAAACGATACAAAAACGATAAAGATTGCATATCCCTGGGAAAATATGTTTGGGTGTACGTTTATTTTGTCTGGAAGTATCCATGCAACACAAAATTAGTAGAACAATATCACCATCCTTACTGTCATGCATTGACGATATTAACAGGGCTTCCAAGTGAGATAATGGACATCCGACCTTGGTCGTCAATATTCAACAAGTGTTGTTCCATATATATCATGTTGAAGCTTAACACGGCAATCGCCATTCCAGAATAATGCCCAAGGTAAACACATATCCCAGATACATCCTAACTGACGACTCATTCCAGAAATCCCTTGTCTCCCGTGTTAATACTGACTATTGACTCAGACGAAGTGGGTACGAGTGACACACAGATCCAGCGGCCTGTGTCTACTGGAACTTGGTAATACAGTTATTCGACACCAGCTGCCCAGATGCATTAAAGGGTCCGATGGCAAAGTCAATACGGCAGCTTCAACCCACCGTGGACCAGACGTTAAGTTGTATGTGGACTGAAAGCATCACGGTCAAGATGTGAGCTTCAGCACTAGTGGAATCAGGCTGGTTTCACAGGTATTCTTCCAGTGTACTTAAGGTGGAGCCAGGATCTGAAGGTGCAGATGTGCTGTGTGGGAGTGTAGTGATGGTGGGCAAATGTGAATGCTCATGTGAAAATATTTTAGCTGAATCAATGTCAGTAAAAAGAAAACAGTGTTGTCAGGTCACAAATCAAGTGAGGTCCTTTGGGGAAAGGTGGAATGGGTGGCAGTCTGACTCCTGAGATTCTAGGGCTTTGGTCCTGTTCCACACTGAATCACATGTAGCGTCTCCTTAGGCAGGTGACTGTGTGTGAAATCTGCCTCTGTTCAACCAGCAGTGAATGGTACCATGTTGGATAAGTTGGTAATGGCACTGTTAATCTGGCACCTCACAGGAAGGTTAGGTTCTATACTTAGCAGGGAGCTGAGAATGAAAATTGAGCGCACACCAGGGTAATAACGTAGCGCGTCGAGCATGCTTAAGGGCATGCATTTGGTGTATAATAAAAGTGGACATGTTTAATATTGACAGCCTGAAAAGTGATCCATACCTACACAAGGTAGACAGTAGTGTTCGAAATAGACATCGGCGCCTAGGCCTGATGGCCGACAGATTTGTTCTCAGGCTGATGGTTTTAAATTTCAGCAGGCCCTTAAAGCCTGCAGTTAATGTTCGGAAATTATTTTCTGAGCATTATGTAAGTAATGTGATAAACAACTTTCACATTTATAAACAGTAGGATTAGACTTTTTGAAAGGTGTGTGACACAGTAGCCGCAAAGATGGTTTACAAGTTGATAACTTACACAAGATAAATATAGCTTCATTTATCACCTACGAGTCTCTGGGAACTCGGTGTGATAGCAGTAAAAGCTTCTGGTTGATTGTCTCCCCGCTTCAGCTAAAATGTTTGTGCCTACAGTTTTTCTACTGGGCCTTAAAAATGTTTTACAAATGTGCTGACCCTTAAGGCTCTCAGTTTGTGTCTGCTGACTTTCACTGGCTGACAGTATCATGCAGGTCACAATTGTGGTCTCCCATCCTGGCTTAGGTCAGCTTCAACAGAGTCCATGGCATCCATTCCGCTTCTGAATCTCCATTGGGTGAGTGTGAGTGTGTATGGTTTTACGCCGCTTTTAGTAATATTCCAGCAATATCACGGCGAGGGACACCAGAAATGGGCTTCACACATTGTACCCATGTCGGGAATCGAACCTGGGTCTTCGGCGTGACGAGCGAACGCTTTAACCACTAGGCTACCCGACCGCCCCGAATCTCCATTGGAGTCAAATGTGTCTGTAACCTTGTCCCAACTCAGAAAATATGTTCCTCGTTTAGGTGATTTTTACTGCTCTTTAAACAGAACTTTTACATGCCACTTAACAGCATTCCAGGTGTCTCAATACATGTACATGTATATTATTCTTAGATCATGCACATGTGAACTGCTCATAAAATACTTTATTTTCATTATCCTGCATATGATACAAGTATGCAAAAGCCTTTTCAAATTCTTGTAACGTATGCACGGAGGGTTTTCACAAATAAGACATCATAATATATCAAGAAGTTTCTCTATCATGCACCCTGGGGACCCTGCTTAGAATACGTCCCAAGCATTCTATTTTTTGTGGGATCAGGAGGCTAAATTTTATGGTCAGGCTTCGTGACTTGGCTGCTTGTGTCATTGATTGTACCCAAGGGGTATGTAGCTCACATAAAGGGCTTGTCTGGCCAGTTACATCCTACCATGACATAGCTGGAGGTGGGTGAGGTGAAATAAGGTTTTGCATGATTATTGCACATACTGATGTGCATGTGCGTGCGTGCGTGCGTTTGTCCGGAGCAATGCAACTTTAAGGGTGCTAGCCCACTGAGATACCATGCCAAAGTTTAACATTAATACCCCACTCACAATGGACTTCGAGCTGATCAGTCCTTGTTTTAACCTCTTATTGCAGGGCACCAGGCATGGTATCAGCAAGTACCATCTTTTAACACATATTATTGTGAAGCTGACAGGGATCAACCCACCAGCCTTCTGCTCTCCAGGCAGACAATCTATCCAGTACACCACAGAGGCATTGATATGTCAGAAACATTGCTGACTGCTGTGTATAATGTAGTGGCCATAAAATTTCCGAGTCCTGTGATGGGATTCGAACCACGGACCTTCTGATCCAAGTTTGGATGCCTTGTCCACATGACCAAAGAGGTTAACCCCGTCAGCAAGCTGACAAGGTAAGGATGTCATCTGTGGGATGACTCCACGCCCTGCTACATACTCCCCCGTCAACAGAAGGCATGTCCCAGGCCGCATAGTAGGGTACTGAGGCTTATTTTTCTCAAAAATATATGAACGTGCTCAGCCCCACGTTGGGCGCCAATGTAGCATCCATAAAATTTCCTGTGATGGGATTTGAACCATGTCCGACCTCTGATCAGAATCCCATCACGGGACTCGGAAATTTTATGGCCGCTACAATAACAAGAAACTCATGTGTCATATCAAAAGTATTTTAAGGAGTAAAGAACAAATTTGATATGATATTTTCATACAGACACAGACTACTAATAAGGGGACAAGGAAGAAGTTACTGAGATACTGTTTATATGGTACACAAAGGCACTATTGGCCAGTGTGAAGATATCTACAGTACTTTCACAAGAGACGAGATACCCATTCACTTCAGTTCATTTTAGTTCAGTAAAATGGAAACACCCACATCACAATTTCATTTGGTGTGTAAACATGATAAATCCATAAATGTATCAAGCAAAGGTTTTTATTACAAGCAACTGAAATCGCATAAATGTATAGAATACTATCTATCCCATGTAACTGTAAAGAATGTTCTGATGTTCCTCTTACAATCTTTTTATTAAAACTGGATGATATGATACACTTACGTTTTGGCACACCTGGTATCACCACAATTTGACAGTAATTCATAAACACGTGCTAATGACATAGTCTGAATTGTACAATCAACTCTGCTTTTGGCAGAGATCATTTATGAATATGGAAAGGTCTTGTCGCTTATATTTTTATTCATACGCTACCTTTGGGTAGTGATTGTTTTCTTTGGTATCTAGAATATCTTTACTGCCCACCCCCTTCCACCACCACCACCCACACACCTCCAGAATACCAAATGGTTGGTCTCTTATGTGATGCTACAGCAGTCAATATGAGGGGTGGCTGTAAAAGTTCTGAGCCTAAGTATGATGGACTGCATTGATTCCTTATTATGTTTCTACTTAATCCCATCTGGGGCCCACACACTTCTGTCACTGGTGTAGAAGGCTTCCTCCTTGTGGTGTAAGAAGTCCTCCATCATGTCCATAGCAGAAATGGCATCATAATGCTTGCCAGACAGTTCTCTCTTCAAGTCTTCAGTTCTCTATTCAAGACGTGAATATCTGAGAATGTCAAATCTGGTGAACATGGGGCATACAGTGGATGTTCAATGAGTTCAAAGCCTCAGTCACGCATTGCATCCAAGGCGACTACAGACTTGTGCACAAGTGCATTTTCCTGGTAGAACAACACAATGTTAGTGAGTCTTCGACGACGTTCAGTGTGGACATTTATTTATAGCATTATTTTGACCTTTAATGATCTGACTTTTCAGGTAGTTAATTTGTCAGGCAATGTTTTTTATCAACTGAAATTGCAGATAAATGTATGTGCTGGCACAGTCCATCACCTACAACACCCACATGTGCTTGTAACTGTCACGCGATACTGGACAATAATCAGGTGCTGACACAGTCTATCACCTCCAACACCCACACGTGCTTGTAACACTGTCACGCAATACTGGACAATAATCAGGTGCTGACACAGTCCATCACCTACAACACCCACATGTGCTTGTAACTGTCACGCAATACTGGACAATAATCAGGTGCTGACACAGTCCATCACCTCCAACACCCACACGTGCTTGTACCACTGTCACGCAATACTGGACAATACATCAGGTGTTAGCACAGTCTATCACCTACAACACCCACATGTGCTTGTAACTGTCACGTGATACTGGACAATAATCAGGTGCTGACACAGTCTATCACCTCCAACACCCACACGTGCTTGTAACACTGTCACGCAATACTGGACAATACACCAGGTGTTAGCACAGTCTATCACCTCCAACACCCACATGTGCTTGTAACACTGTCACGCAATACTGGACAATACATCAGGTGTTAGCACAGACCATCACCTCCAACACCCACATGTGCTTGTAACACTGTCACGCGATACTGGACAATACATCAGGTGTTAGCACAGAACATCACCTCCAACAGCCACATGTGCTTATAACTGTGTCACGCGATACTGGACAATACATCAGGTGTTAGCACAGTCCATCACCTCCAACACCCACATGTGCTTATAACTGTGTCACGCGATACTGGACAATACATCAGGTGTTAGCACAGACCATCACCTACAACACCCACATGTGCTTGTAACTGTCATGCAATACTGGACAATAATCAGGTGCTGGCACAGTCTATCACCTCCAACATCCACAAGTGCTTGTGACACTGTCACATGATGCTGGACGGTCAACTCTAACTTCTACACGTGCTTGTAACACTGTCACGCGATACTGGACAATACATCAGATGTTAGCACAGTCTATCACCTACAACACCCACATGTGCTTGTAACACTGTCACGCGATACTGGACAATACATCAGGTCTTAGCACAGTCCATAACCTCCAACATCCACTTGTGCTTGTGACACTGTCACATGATACTGGACAATACATCAGGTGTTAGCACAGTCCATCACCTCCAACAACTACACATGTGCTTGTAACTCTGTCACGCGATACTGGACAATACATCAGGTGTTAGCACAGTCCATCACCTCCAACACCCACATGTGCTTGTAACTCTGTCACGCGATACTGGACAATACATCAGGTCTTAGCACAGTCCATCACCTCCAACATCCACTTGTGCTTGTGACACTGTCACATGATACTGGACAATACATCAGGTGTTAGCACAGTCCATCACCTCCAACACCCACATGTGCTTGTAACTCTGTCACGCGATACTGGACATTACATCAGGTATTAGCACAGTCCATCACCTCCAACATCCACAAGTGCTTATGACACTGTCACATGATGCTGCTCAATACATCAGTCTATCGTCTCCAACATCACAATGCGCCTGTAACACTGTCACACGATGCTGGTCAATACGTCAGGTGCTGGCAGTCCATCACCTACAACATCCACAAGTGCTTGAGACATAGTCACATGATGCTGGCGGTCAACTCCAACTTCTACACGTGCTTGTGACACTGTCACCCGTTGCTGGACAATACATCAGGTGTTAGCACAGACCATCACCTCCAACACCCACATGTGCTTGTAACTCTGTCACGCGATACTGGACAATACATCAGGTGTTAATGTTAGCACAGTCCATCACCTCCAACAGCCACATGTGCCTGTAACACTGTCATGGGATACTGGACATTACATCAGGTGTTAGCACAGTCCATCACCTACAACACCCACATGTGCTTGTAACTCTGTCACGTGATACTGGACAATACATCAGGTGTCAGCACAGTCCATCACCTACAACACCCACATGTGCTTGTAACTCTGTCACGTGATACTGGACAATACATCAGGTGTTAGCACAGTCCATCACCTCCAACATCTACACATGCTTGTGACACTGTCACACGATGCTGGTCAATACGTCAGGTGCTGGCACAGTTCATCACCTCCAACACCCACATGTGCTTATGACACTGTCACGCGATGCTGGACAATACATCAGGTGCTGGCACAGTCTATCACCTACAACACCCACATGTGCTTGTGACACTGTCACGCGATGCTGGACAATACATCAGCAGTTAGCACAGTCCATCACCTCCAACACCCACATGTGCTTGTGACACTGTCATGCGATGCTGGACAATACATCAGCAGTTAGCACAGTCCATCACCTACAACACCCACATGTGCTTGTGACACTGTCACGCGATGCTGGACAATACATCAGGTGCTGGCACAGTCTATCACCTCCAACATCCACATGCTTTCTGCTATCATGCATCCACTGAGGTCTTGTATCTTTATACCACGAACAGTAGGCTCTGGACCACCAGCTATCATTACACCTATCACCATTGCATACTGACCTGAAAGCATGGACAAATGAATACAGATCATGATACATACTTCCACACAACCATCCATGATTATCCATTATATCTCTATTCTATTATGATAAATACCTGGACCCAATCGTTACGATAGCGTTCTTATAGTAGACACACACCAAAAATGACGCCAATGAAAGTATCATTTTAAGTGAGAGAAATTCCATTTTAGAGAAAGGAGTGAAGGTAGTGGTATAATAAATACCTGGACCCATCCGTAACCATAGTGTTCTTGTAGCACGACACACACATGTTAGAGATAGGAGCGAAGGTAGTGAATCTGATACGAAGCTATGGTGGCAAACAAGTCCAGGAAGTTCATTCTCCTTTAGAAGGAGAGAGTTAGGTTTAATGCTGCTTTTAGCAATATTTCAGGAACATTACAGCTTCATACCTTGTACCCAATCAAACCCAGACTTTCTGTGCTGTCATCACCAGCAGACCACTGCCCCACACCTTTAACAGTGAGTGATTGAGTTGGGTTTAACGCCGCTTTTAACAGTATTCCAGTTATATCGCGGCGTGTCAGCTTAATGTTGGAGGAGAGTCCAAAGTGATGCAGGTCTCAGACATTTACCACTTCAGTGAAACCCACGAGCACGGGTGTGGTGCTGACAAACCTAGAAACATAATTGGGGCGTAATCATAGGTTTCTGACATGCCCAAGGGACGCAACTCTGCACAGCGAATAGCGGCGCCTTGGACGACTGGGCCACCAGAGCCCCCCACTTTTAACAAGAACAAAGAAGAGGATAGAATTTTACAGATTGTAGGATTGGTTCACCTGGTTTTACTCGGGGACAGGCTGGAGGGACCTTGTCACACCCCACTATCCGTGCAGTCCCTGTCCCATCATCAAGCACCATCTCGTCTCCTTTCTCACTCTTCTGGAAAAACATGGTGTTAGTAAAATTTATTTGGTTAAAAAATCAGTGAAATTAAATATAATTAAATAAAATTCAAATGAGGCAGTTTCACCTGGCAGTCAACACAGGATTTATCTGTCATGTTAAATTTAGATTCTATATCAAGAAAATTGGGGGAAAAGGATATTTTGTCTTAAATCAGTTCTTCAGTCCTAATTTTCTTTAATTGAGTGTTATTTTACGATTAGATTTCACGCAGCAATGTAAAATGACACCATTTTACATCTTAGTCACATGTTGGATTATCTCGCCAGCAGTCTATTGCTTGTCATAACAGGTGACTACATTGGCAACTTGGTGACTTGGTTGTTTATACATACACGTATCATCATACACCAACAGCATTATACCAACCACTAGTTGGTTATGACAGAGATGACTCAATTATTTACAGGCTGCTGTGACAGCTGGAAAATTGCTGACAGCTGCATAAAACAACAAACAAAAGTCACATTTGCAAAGTTAAAACATAAGTTACAATTAACATGACTTGAAATAGGATATTAGTTCCAATATGGGAATTTTAAGACGTTAACAGTTGATGTGGGACATACATTGGCATCTGCAAACACCTTGATAAATCCCAGCAGTAATACTATGTTGGGAACCAAAAACACAACCTGTGGTTGATAGAGTGAGGATAAATTAGTGCGAGTGAGCTTGGTTTAACACTGCTTCTGTTACATCATGACATAAGCATGAATTAGAGCGAGTGAGTTTGGTTTAACACTGCTTCTGTTACATCATGACGTAAGCATAAATTAGAGCGAGTGAGTTTGGTTTAACCCTGCTTCTAACAGTAATGAAGTTACATCATGAGTGTCAGTGTCAGCTTAATCATGTTAATGTCACATTGTGTGGGAGTAAAGCCTGAAATGGTGTAGGTCTCAGAAGTTTAGCACATGAGGGAAACTAATGAGCAGGCTGACAAGCCTAGAAACATATGGGCGAACTGGGATTCGAACCCAGGATCATAGGTTTCTAGCATGCCTAAAGGACGCAACTCTGCTTAGCTAATTGTGGCACCTTAGATGACTGGTCCACCCATGACCCTGCATAGATAAGATGAGTAAGACGTTAATCAAAAGCTGTTGTTCTTCCCACCAGGTTTTACTAGTGAGCTTTAATATTTCATTACCTCTTCATTAAGAGGACACAAAGATTATCTTCTCATATATTATAAGGTGAGGAAAAGGTATGGCCCAATATGTTTTATTTGGATAAGTGTCATGGTGACTGAATTACGACACCCATTGTCTGAAGAACATTTGATTGCAAAGGTTCATTACCCTGGAGCCATGACATCTATATGCCTTGAAACATTTAATTGCTGTTATTTATAAGATGCTAATTCTAATTGTTAATCCCCAGTTTTGTGTACATCGACCGTCTGTCATCCTGAACAGGATGTGCAAGTATGTCACTGATGATTTACTGTTTACATTTATATTTATTACTTACTAAATGTCAGGTGACCTTGGCTATATAAGCCTTGGTCCAGAGAGAAAAGAGAAGGAGAAAAGAGAGAAGGAGAAAGAAAAGGTCTTACCCTTAGCCTAGCTAGGGTTAGGCTGGGTGCTCCGGGGCACCAAGACAACTACAACCACTATGTGCTGACATGGCACAAAGTGTCTTTTGTATGTATATATCTACATGTATAAAGTAAAACTGTATATACCGCAAGCCACCGTCTCCAAGTTGTCACTTCCTACTGAGAACCATACGTCAGCCTCTTGCATATACGAGTATGCAAACTGTTCATTAATCAACGTAACACCGCCACGCGTTGATAATTTGGTGGAGCTATCGGGTATGACAGACTTCTTAGTCTGTCCTTTCCTGTACCTCTTTGCAGCATGGCATATGGTTCACAAAACTGTAGGAAGTGACAGTCTCTTATTAAAAGGATATACAACCTTCCTGGAGGCCAGTCACCAAGAACGAAGAAATGGCCTTTAACAAGATTGAAGAAAGAACAAGAACCTCTCCGATCAAGAACAAGCTCTCCGATCCCAAACCTTCCCTGCTCGAATATCTTAGCAACACTGCTAAGACTTCCCCTTCAAGATGTCGTTCCTGCACATGACCTAAGAAAAGAAGTATACACGCCTATCCCACAGAGACCCGACCACAGCCATCTTCATGCAGACCCTGCACAATACAGGAACCGCCTCACGGGCACCTACAAGATGGACACTGTGTACAAGATATCTCATTGGGACTTACTAATTTGTGTTTACTTACATGGACTCAATCAAGGATATATATTGTGTGACTGTTGAATAGTGCAACCAGGTATGTTTAATCAAAGCCAGTATATTAATGCCAAAATGTGTCTTTCCAAAATTCAGTTTTGTATGTGTGCAATATACTCCAAATTACATCTTTAGTCAGCTAGATCTTTGAAGTTATTGTGTAGGGGATCTTTGAAATGTCTCCAGGCCACGCCAGACATATAGTTGCAGCTAGGGCCCAGACAAACCTAAGCTGTAGGGTTATCGAGTCACACCTCTAAGCTCGACTCGTAATTTTAAAAATCTAAACGACAAAATTTGTCATTTGTTACAAGTAATTAATGTGCACAGTTTGGTACAAAATTGAATGTATTGTCTAGGACTTTGAATTCAGATTAGGGATATTCTTGGGTGAGCCACCCCTACACATATGTTTATTGTATGTCAGTATTAAGTAATTAACAGCACAGCAGTATTCAGCATTTCAGAGTTTTGATGTCGGAATTAAGGATATTTTTTCTTGGGCATCGCACCCACAATATCTGGGCAAGCTCCGTCAAAGACACGGGAAGAGCACCCATTGTACTTAAAAGGGCAATAGTACCCACAAGTACCGTTTGAGTCACGCGGTAAAGCTAGACTCCTGGTTTCAAATTTCTTTATGCGAAATATTTGCTGAGATGTTTAATTTGTACTTTTTATGACATTACTCATTATCATTATTCGGTACTGAGTCGCACCGCCAAGCCAGACTCCTGAATTCAAAGAACCTTCAGTGATATATTTATTGAATCTGTGAAAAGCAGTAATTACCTTGTAGTGAAATTGCACATTACAAAGATCACTCGGTTAGTTTTCAAACTGGCACTAAATCGAATTGGCTAGATGATTACTTTCATACTGTCATTGCATAGATATATTTGTTGCATAAGGATTTCATGTAACTGATTTTGTTCCCATTTGCATGGTTGTTTTCGTTGGTGAAAAAGTTCACACATATCAATTTGGACTCATATAAGCTTGGGGTCCAAGCTTCACGTAACGGAGGGAAGTTGTCATGGTGACTGATTTACGACACCCATTGTCTGAAGAACATTTGATTGCAAAGGTTCATTACCCTGGAGCCATGACATCTATATGCCTTGAAACATTTAATTGCTGTTATTTATAAGATGCTAATTCTAATTGTTAATCCCCAGTTTTGTGTACATCGACCGTCTGTCATCCTGAACAGGATGTGCAAGTATGTCACTGATGATTTACTGTTTACATTTATATTTATTACTTACTAAATGTCAGGTGACCTTGGCTATATAAGCCTTGGTCCAGAGAGAAAAGAGAAGGAGAAAAGAGAGAAGGAGAAAGAAAAGGTCTTACCCTTAGCCTAGCTAGGGTTAGGCTGGGTGCTCCGGGGCACCAAGACAACTACAACCACTATGTGCTGACATGGCACAAAGTGTCTTTTGTATGTATATATCTACATGTATAAAGTAAAACTGTATATACCGCAAGCCACCGTCTCCAAGTTGTCACTTCCTACTGACAACCATACGTCGGCCTCTTGCATATACGAGTATGCAAACTGTTCATTAATCAACGTAACACTGCCACGCGTTGATATAAGCATGAATTCAGATATTTTTTTATTATTCCAAGTGAGGGTTTATACTGACATTAGCTGCAGACATGGGGCAGAATATGTGAGCAGGTCTAGATAAATTCCTGAACATGCTGAATGCTGGTCTTAGCACTTACCTGCACCACCAAACCTTGTACCCACACACACCCAAATAACTTCTTCTTGCCAAGCACTTTAATTTCCCAGCTGACAGTCTTGACACTAGGATTGATGGCTTCAGAGGACTTCTCACAATGTTGCAGGTCCGACACAAACAGTTTCATAGAGGGTAGGTCAAGGATATTCATGTTGAAACTTGGCTGAAATAATGATGCATTAAGGTTTAAGTTTGAAGAATCTGTTTGTGTCTCATCAATCCCAAATATTTTTTACAACAGTGATCTGTCCAGACGTATGGGGTGTTTGGGCATAGGTCTGTTTGGATTGGTACCAATGTATTTGAACCAAGCACATCAAAGCAGTGACTGGAAAATAATTCTCTTTTATACATATTAAATTTCCATTTATCATTATTGAACAATACTGCGTTGTTGTCTGTGTAAGTCATTGACCAAGAGAGACAACTTTCAGAAGGTGAAAATGGAAATTCTTGCATTCACTGATTCAGCACAATGTGAAGTCATGTAAGGAAAATTTCATGCATGTTCAACATGCATAACCTGACATTCTAGCTAGTAGCATACACGCAACAATTGGATCTGTTTTCACTTGACAGCTGCTTCTGGAACAAGGTGATTACTAATAAAGGGGTGCAGGCTAAAACGACACCTCAGCTAAACGTTGCTGCTTTGTCCGGCGAAAACAGCTACCAATTGTCCTGCAAAAACGGCACCTCTATTTTTAACAACAATAAGAACGATTCATGTAGTAGTGTATATACTTTATTTACATGCTTTACTATGTTGTGTTGTAGCATATATGTTTTCCTTGGGAGGGGACCCAGTCTGTTATCTGTAGAAACATTCTGCTGGCAGAAAGGAGCGATATATATGAATTATTTATAAAATTACTATTTATTTCCTACTAAAATAAATATTAAATATATGTAGTCCATGCAGTTTCTTGACACTTCCGCCAGACCCAGTTTCAGCTCGACATTGAGTTAATTTGAGTAAAGATAATTAAAGGATATGATATTTTCGGGCCCTCCAATCAATTGGAATAGAGGCTAATTTCTAGTGCAAACTTATTTTAAGGCGATTAACATTTCCCAAGTGACCATGTGAGGTTAATTTCATTTATTTTACTTCAAAGCGTGTAGATTTCTAATGTTTTTACAATAAGTTTAGTTGCGCCTCCCAATCAGAGTTGGCAAGTAAATTCGAGTAGAGGCTAGTTACCAATGTAAAGTTGTTTTAACATTTCACAGTTATTTTTGTTTGCAACTGACAATGTGAGTTTTATTTCATGTCTTTCAGTACCAAGGTACAAACAAAATAAGGTGCCGTTTTCGCCAGACAATAGTAGATCTAGCCGTTTTCCGACGACCTTTTCCCTTTAGGCGAGATGAAGTTTTCGCTCGGTGATGTTTTGCTGAGGTGCCGTTTTAGCTATTACACCTAATAAAGTGACGGGGAGTCATATCACGCCATACTCATAGATCTAGCCTACATGACATTGTGATTCGAAGTCACGTCGTTGTCAAGTTGGGCACCTCAAGTTGTTTTGATCAGACATAACTGTGGCTGATCATAATGACAGCTCAATCAAACCAGAAATTAGGTCCGAATGGACTTACTTTTTCTAACAGTAGAGCTGCTAACTGATATGAACCCTCTTCGTTGATTACAACTTTAAACGATTCATTTCAAATCTTCGCGGTAATGGAGGACAACTTCTCATTTGACTGGGCTCTTGCCAACCTAAACTGCGGGTGCGCGTACCAACAGTGGAACCAGTTTTACTACGCGGGCAATATCGCTTAGCTCAACACGCAAAATGTAAGCTGTTAAGAGAAACAATATATTTAGATATATATCTATAGAACTTACAAACAGTAACTATTTGACCAAAGTATTATGTGATTGTGTGGGATGATTTAATCATATTTACAGTTTCGTTGTTCTAAGGGGTATCTTATTTTCCAAAATGTCTGGCGATAATCGACAAAATGTGGACTACCGCTGTAAACACTACAAGAGAAATTGCAAATACATTGTAAGATACTTCAAATCATTTCACGAAACTTCACAAAAGACAGTGTAACATATGGTTATTGTAAAGTAGACATAGATATGTGCAGTTCCTGAAAAGTTTGTTACATTCATAATGTTCTGTTTTCGATCAACACAGACCCTTCTTTTCATGACGGTAGAAAAGTCGTGGGAAAATCAAAAGAAAACAGATATCAAAACTTTTACGGTCTTACACGTTGTTTCCTACACAGTTCTGAATCTAACTGTCTGGTTAAATTTATCCTCAAAGAGTCGACTGTCTGAACGTTCCAGGAGCTGTTTGTTACCTAAACAATTTCGAAGGGCCATAAAAATGAAAGATCATTGCTGACATAATTCAGCTGAAAAATGTAAAAAAGATTTTTAGAAAATCCTACGGCCATGCAGAACTGAAAGGTTTCTGTTTACTTTCAGATTATTAGAACCTGCTCTATACATATCTATAATACATCTATGGATTGAAGTTTTAATAACTATATTTTTAATGGCATGATAACCATGTCACATGTTAAACGAAGCTGATGGGGTCATTGTTAACACGGGTATACTGCTAGTGTGTAATGATGGTAGTGTCCACCAATATTTAACCAAGACCACAATAAATCATTTTTGAGATTTTCAGGTAACAATGCAGGTGCATCGTAAGGTAGCGCTAATAGGCTGAGGATGCCAACTGTGGCTCTTGCTTAACAAATTAGTTGTGTTCCGGTAAGGGTAGGTTACCCCTATCTCTTAGCCTCTTAGCCCTTAGCCCTTCAATCTCCTGTCCCGTCAAGCACCTCTTTACGATCAGTTGGTTTAGGTACCCCTTTCTGATCAAAGGCACAGAGTTTTACTACTCATGAATGGATTAGTTTGAAATAAAAACACTGAAAGGTTTCCTCATTAGGATAACAGTTTAATTATGTTTTCACAATAGATTGGTACAATGTAAATTGATGACATTGGTTAAAACAAGAATGAACTCGGCTAGAAGATATTTGATTGTAATAACAACATCTAACATGTATACTCTGGACACATCCTGCTCACACTGGATATTCATTTATTAAAATGGCCATTTTGACTTTTTATCTGTTGTGTCCGACATGAATTTTTTGTGTGGCCGTTTTCGCTATGGGTTTGTGGCCATTTTGACTTTTTTCTGTCCGTTTAGACTTTTGAGTTTGACATCGTTTTGACTACAAGCTCGATCAAACACCCCTCCTTGATCCTTAGCATTCTTAGGGTTAGGCACCCCATTACAATCCTTAGGGTTAGTTGTGGGGTAGGGTGTGGATCAGCTATCTCTTTTAGCGTATTAATCCAATGTAACTAACTGTTTACTGAAGTCATTCACATTAAGCATGAATTTTTGTACGACTATAGTATTTGCACATGGTGTATTTTATCATTGTACCTCAATAGCTCAATAGCTCAATATTGTCAATAGCTCCTAAGTTGTATGACTTGTGTTGACATTACCCTAATTTTAAAAATAGATCATTAAGGGGGGGTCCTTCACTCAAGGACCCCCTCTCCCCCTTATTTCAATCACTGCAGAAATCAAAGTGTTCCATATCTAGACCTTTATAGTACTGTAAATACGGTAATTGGGTAGTTGTAGGGGTAAGGCCCAATATCCCAGGTGTGACAAGTCTGCTACCTCTATGTTGTGTGTGACCAGTGGTTGCTAACACTAAACAGGAAAGATAAGTTGAAATAGGCGACTAATGTGGATTGGATGGTCAATCAGTTGGTTGACCCCAGGTCATTGTGTGGGACTTTGCTCATAATATCAACCTCTGGTTTGTCTGTCCCCACCTGAATTAATCACAGCCAGAAATTTGCCTACTGTGGTGTTAATAAACAACTAAATTGTCATTTATCAACACTTGGAATGTCTGTGAACATATTGAAAGTGATACAGTTCAATCTAGACTAACGTTTAGTATATGAAATCTTATATTACACAATATCCTTCTTGACTCTAAAAATAAAAAAATAATTTTCCCTATGCTGAATTCATATATATGTGGAATAGAGCTAGCTAGAGCTGCCTAGACTTGCTTTTGTATGCGTTTCCAAATTGTTTTTTTTCTGTGTTTTGTTTTCATAAAATAAATATATTCCACGGTCATGGTGCAGGACTAAGTTCAATCATATCATGTCCGGGCACGGGTATCCCAGTCGTCTAAGGCGCCGCGATTCACTGTGCAGAGTTGCGTCCCTTGGGCACCCCAGAAACCTATGATTGTGGGTTCGAATCACGGTTTGCTGCGATTATGTTTCTAGGTTTGTCAGCACCATACCCGTGCTCGTGGGTTTCACCGAAGTGGTAAACATCTGAGACCTGCATCACTTCGGGCTTTCCGCCCACATTAAGCTCACTCACTCACTCACTCAGTCAGTCAGTCAGTCAGTCAGTCAGTCAGTCAGTCAGTCAGTCAGTCAGTCAGTCAGTCAGTCAGTCAGTCAGTCAGTCAGTCAGTCAGTCAGTCAGTCAGTCAGTCAGTCAGTCAGTCAGTCAGTCAGTCAGTCAGTCAGTCAATCATATCATGTCACATCTTCCCGAAGCAAAGGAGTCAACTCGCTATAAAAGTCCAATTTCCACCCTTGCCAAACTAGGCTGAAATTTCTAGGCTCATTCAGAGCGCCACCAGTGACTCTAAATGAGTTATGTCCCTTCTATGTCCCGGCGGCGCCCAGTCAAGACGATCTAATCGATAATCATATTTTTTTTAATAAAACGGGTTTTACCTTGCAAAATGCATTAAACCAGTTGAGCACCTTGATTACAAACATGAAAAGATTTGGAAAATATCTGTCGACACCCATTTTAAGGTACCCATGCTCTGCAAATTCTGCAATCATCCGAACACGCACTGAAGTTTACGAACCGGATGTCGACTTTGTTACGCAATTTTGATTGGACTATGCACAGACTTGTTAGTCCATCCAAAATGTCCCTCCATAATACCAGCCTAGTTTGGCAAGGGTGGAAACTGGACTTTTACAGTCAGTTAACTCCCTTGCCTCGGGAAGATGGCCATGTCAGTATCAGCCATCAGAATGTACGCTAATCAGCCAGCCCAAGACAACTAAATTGTGCTGAGGACAAGTAATAATCTACTGATGGTCGTCCTCATGACTAGTAGCATAGAGCTATAATGCTGAACCAGTTCTCAGTGCTTCTGTTTATCACAAATTGTAAGGGAAAAAAACTGACAGTAAATGTAGATATCATAAACATTTTTGCCTCGTGTAATCAGAACTAGCTACATACCCTGAGGACTAGTGAATTAGGAATTACACTGGACTAGTTATTTCTGACTTCAGGCACCATGTTGTGACGAAGTGTACATGTGCCGAGTCTGCCATGATGACAAGGAGGCGCATGAACTGGACCGGAAGCAGGTGAAGGAAGTCCTGTGCCTGAAATGTCAGATAAGACAAAAGGTTTGTAGCTTGTATGGTTGTAGACTCACAATCTGGTTAACAATTAATCTGGTTTTGATGTTTATCATTCGAATGATAATTCAAGATAATTGCAATAAGCTGAAGAAGTAACCATAGTAACACTGATTGAGGAATTGATTTAGTACTGGATGATGGGCATTCTGGGTTAGAACTGATCCCCACCAACCTATGCATTAGAGGCAACTAAATGGACTGGGCGGTCATGCTTGGTAACTTGGCTGATTGGATGTCTTCGTACCCCAATTTCTTGGATCGTTTCTTATGACATCAATCACTGGATTGTCTGATACAAACATGGTTATTTAGAGAGTGCTGTCATATATAGCTGTAATATTGCTGAGTGAGGCCTTAGCAAACAAGCGAACAAACAAACAAACTGCAGACTCATCTTGTAAATCACTTCAACTTGTAAAACATCAAAGAATGCCCTCTCTGTCATTTGGGACCCCCAGAACTGACTAGAACAAACATTGGCATGCAGTCTGATAAGTAAACTAGTTTTGATTACTTCAGTAGGATGGTCTTGATCCCAATCCTGATTACAGTAAATTGTTCTTCTTGAGTATGTGTCTGAAATGCCAGATTGATGTATTAGCACAAATAAGTGAGGTTGCACTGTTTGTTAATTGGCTTAGAAACTACTGACCTTGCCAAAATACTCTCTCTAGCAAGCTAACAGAGAGAAAAACACCACAAATCTTCACCATCCAGGAGAAACAATGTTTGCAATATTTTAATTCAGATTGGGGTCATGGCTGCCCCAGTCTTGTAAGGCACCATAATCTACTGTGCAGAGTTGCGTCCCTTGGACACGCCAGAAACCTATGATTATGGGTTCGATATCTGGTTTGCACCACTTATGTTTCTAGGTTTGTCAGCACCATATCCGTGTGTATGGATTTCACTAAAGTGGTAAACGTCTGAGACCTGCATCACTTCAGGCTTTCCTCCCACATTAAGCTGACATGCCATGATGTAACTGGAATACTGTTAAAAGCGGTGTTAAACCCAACTCACTCACTCACTTATGTAATTCAGATAAAGAAAACTGAGACCAATATGTTTGTTCTGACCATGAGAGTGTATAAATAATTTTTGTGTGTTTCAAGTTTCAACAGACATGTGAGAACTGTGGCATCATGTTTGGCAAGTACTGTTGCAGTATCTGCCATCTTCTAGATGATGAGGACAAGCAACAATTCCACTGTGACAAGTGTGGTATTTGCAGGTGAGTGAAAAGTGACAGGTGTGGTATGTGCAGTTGAGTGAACACTGACAAGTGTGGTATATGCAGGTGAGTGAACAATGAAAGGTGTGGTATATGCGGGTGAGGGAACAATGACAGGTGTGGTATATGCGGGTGAGTGAACAATGAAAGGTGTGGTATTTGCAGGTGAGTGAAAAGTGACAGGTGTGGTATATGCAGTTGAGTGCACACTGACAAGTGTGGTTTATGCAGGTGAGTGAACAATGACAGGTGTGGTATATGCAGGTGAGGGAACAATGACAGGTGTGGTATGTGCAGGTAAGTGAACAATGACAGGTGTGGTATATGTGTGTGAGTGAACAATGAAAGGTGTGGTATGTGCGGGTGAGGGAACAATGACAGTTGTGGTATATGCGGGTGAGGGAACACTGACAGGTGTGGTATATGCAGGTGAGTGAACAAAGACAGATTTGGTGTATGCAGATGAGTGAACAATGACACATGTAGTATATGCAGGTGAGTGAACACTGACACGTGTGGTATATGCAGGTGAGTGAACACTGACACATGTGTTATATGCAGGTGAGTGAGCAATGACACGTGTGGTATATGCAGGTGAGTGAACACTGACACGTGTGGTATATGCAGGTGAGTGAACAATGGCAGATTTGGTGTATGCAGGTGAGGGAACACTGACAGGTGTGGTATATGCAGATAAGGGAACAATGACAGGTGTGGTATATGCAGGTGAGGGAACAATGACACGTGTGGTATATGCAGATAAGTGAACAATGACAGGTGTGGTATATGCAGGTGAGGGAACACTGACAGGTGTGGTATATGCAGATGAGTGAACAGTGCCAGATGTGTTATATGCAGGTGAGTGAACACTGAAAGGTTTGACATATGCAGGTGAGTGCACACTGACAGGTGTGATATATGCAGATGAGTGAACATTGACACATGTGGTATATGCAGGTGGGTGCACAATGACAGGTGTGGTATTTATGGATGAGTGAACACTGACACATGTGGTATATGCAGGTGAGGGAACAATGGCAGATTTGGTGTATGCAGGTGAGTGAACACTGACACATGTGGCATACGCAGGTGAGTGAACAATGACAGGTGTGACATATGCAGGTGAGGGAACACTGACAGGTGTGACATATGCAGGTGAGGGAACACTGACAGGTGTGACATATGCAGGTGAGTGAACAATGACAGGTGTGGCATACGCAGGTGAGGGAACACTGACAGGTGTGACATATGCAGGTGAGGGAACACTGACAGGTGTGATATATGCAGATGAGTGCACACTGACAGGTGTATATATGCAGGTGAGTGAACACTGACAGTTGTGATATATGCAGGTGAGTGCACACTGACAGGTGTGATATATGCAGGTGAGGGAACACTGACAGGTGTGATATATGCAGGTGAGGGAACACTGACAGGTGTGATATATGCAGGTGAGGGAACACTGACAGGTGTGACATATGCAGGTGAGTGCACACTGACAGGTGTGATATATGCAGGTGAGTGCACACTGACAGGTGTGATATATGCAGGTGAGTGCACACTGACAGGTGTGATATATGCAGGTGAGTGAACACTGACAGGTGTGGTATATGCAGATGAGTGAACAGTGTCAGATGTGGTATACGCAGGTGAGTGAACACTGACAGGTTTGACATATGTAGTTGAGGGAACACTGACAGGTGTGATATATGCAGGTGAGTGCACACTGACAGGTGCGATATATGTGGGTAAGTGAACATTGACATGTGTGGTATATGCAGGTGGGTGCATAATGACAGGTGTGGTATTTGTGGATGAGTGAACACTGACACATGTGTTATATGCAGGTGAGTGAACAGTGACAGGTGTGGTATATGCAGGTGAATGACACTAATGATTGTGTTGAACAAGTGAACCAACTGCATTGTTTCTCCATTGAAGCACCATGTTGGGATTCCATTCCAGAAATATTGACAGTGTGATGTTATTGCTTGACGATCAGTCCTCTGGGTATGTGGTATGATGTAGTTGTGTCTGAGCCTATCTATCAGAGTCGGTAGGCCAGCAGGCTCAGGGTATATCTGCTCTCACACAGGGTACATCACACCACATACCCAGGGGGACCAGTTTGCAACAAAGTTATCTTACCTGCATAAATTCGCCAGTTTATCTTAAATGTCTTCAACTGTATGGCTAAGGAGCTGTTATCTCCCTTTCATTACAAGCAGTTCATACTCAGCTATGTTCTCTGGACTGCATTTAGAAGGTGAGATTACCGTATTCGACGTAATAAGCCCCCGCTCTAATAAGCGCCCACGGCGATATATGCTAATATATTGGATAGTGAACAATCCCAATTAGCACCTCTTCCGATTTATCAATGTACACAAGACTTATTTATTCGTGTATAATACGCACTCGTGTGTTATATGCACCCTTAATTATGGGCAATTAAATTCTGGAAAAATGTATCCGTCGTATATAAACAGTTCAGGCTGTCAGCAGAAAGCACGAAATTTATCTTTCAACTCACCAAAATAATATTCTAATAAGAGCCCCCTGTTTCTAATTTTGAGAGCGCCCTGGGTGCTTATTACATCGAATACAGTATATAATCTTTTTTTTCACATCGGTTAGAGGTTCGGCATTTCCCAACAGGGTATATGAAACTTGTACCGTATCACTCGGTGAGGTACATGGGAAATGTGGCCAATTCAGTAACCAATCAGAAATGAGTATCTTAAATGCAAGGTTAGATTGATTGCAGGTCATCGTTGCCATTGACTCAATGGTCATGTTATTAGCCATGTCAGTGGTTCACTACAAACAGTCTTCACACATTCACACAATGGGTGACAATGCTGTGGAGAGCAATACATGGTTCATATTAGTTCATACTGTTTTTGTGTACATCCATCCATTAATGGTTATTATGTCAGGTTACACCAGTCACTGAATGTAACAGACCAAACATGTTGATTAAGTGTCATATATGCCATATATTACGATTTTTAGGATTTCTGGAGATCTTAGTGTGGATCTGTTGACAGGTTAACACAGTCATTCTCACTGAGCATTTTAGTTTTAGCTTCATGCTGATTGGTTAGTTTATTTCAATTGTTCCGTTGTGGCACGGGTGGCCCAGTTATCTAAGGCGCCGCGAGTCACTGTGCAGAGTTGCATCCCTTGGGCACACCAGAAACCTATGATTGTGAGTTCGAATCCCAGTTCGCCCCGATAATGTTTCTAGGTTTGTCAGCACCATACCCGTGCTCGTGGGTTTCACCAAAGTGGTAAACGTCTGAGACCTGCATCACTTCGGGCTTTCCTCCCACATTAAGCTGACACACCATAATATAACTGGAATAATGTTAAAAGCGGCGTTAAACCCAACTCATCCCCCCACCCACCCACCCATGACATCAGGAATGGTTTATTTGACAGCAATAGATTGACTGAGCGTATGTCTCAATGAGAAACTGTGGGTAATACAAAGGATAATTACTCCAAGTTATGGAATATCTGTCCCAAGTGAAATAATGTTGCAAATTACGAAACCCCATTCATTCACTCACTCTAATATCTTATTTCAATTTACAGAGTTGGTGGAGCAAAGAACTTCTTTCACTGTGAAAAATGTGATGTGTGTCTTGCCAACCAGCTCAAAGACAATCACAAGGTTTGTAGTGGTCCCGGAACAACTTTGTACTGTATGAAGCTGGAAATCCTCACTCCCTCAACTCATGCATGTCGCAAGAGCTGACTATCATAGGGATGGGGTATTCAGGCTGAAAGTCAAGTGAACTTACGTCAGGGCCTGTTTGACCGGCTTATACTGTGTGGCGTCTGATGTGAACATCTTCTCAGAGACCACTGGAAAAATGAAGCTGAAACCTGTTCCTACAAATTGCCACACCCTAATTTGTTCAAGAAGTTAAAATCTGATTTTCAATATGGCTGGGGGCGGTCAGGTAGCCTAGTGGTTAAAGCGTTTGCTCGTCACACCGAAGACCCGGGTTCGATTCCCGACATGGGTACAATGTGTGAAGCCCATTTCTGGTGTCCCCCGCTGTGATATTGCTGGAAAATTGCTAAAAACGGTGTCAAACCATACTCACTCACTCACTCACTTCAATATGGCTGCTACAGCAGATAATAATGCATCAATATATAAATGCGAGTTAGGCACACTTGCATTTTTCGCATTAATTTATTGCTGGCATTAATTATATGACTTCAGCAAGTATGTTGCTCCTTATGACATCACCATGTTTTGTTCCAATCATCAGAGTGTAGAGTTTTGCAGACACTATTTGAATATCTTCACTGACATCAACTTTTGTTTGTGTGTTTGTTGACTAAATATCCAGGTTATGTGTCATAACACGATGGCTCATGGGTCGTTCTTGATGCATTCACAGCCTGGTCCATTCCCACATATTTACAGGCCACCTTGACATAACTGGAATATTGTTGACTGTGCCATTAAAAAGCATTCACTCACAGGCGGTCACCTTGAAGGCCCAGGTTCAGTTACCTCTCATGGGTGTCCCCACTCATTTCTGGTGTCCATGCGAAGATCCGGGTTAGGTCTTCAGCAACCCATGCTTGAAGTAAGAGGCGATTATGCTTCTTGTAAGAGGCGTCTAACGGGATCGAGTGGTCAGACTCGTCGACTTTGATGCATGTCATCATATCCCAATTGCGTGGATCGATGCTCATGATGTCAATCACTGGATTGGCAGGTTCAGACTCGATTATGTTCAGACTGCTGTCATATGGCTGGAACATTGCTGAGTGCATCGTTAAACAGCAAACAAACAAACTGGTGTTCCCGCCATGATGTTGCTGGAAACCCATACTCACTCACTATATCCTCGTTGCTGTTTAGAGACAGATTTATTTCGCTGTCTGACTTGAAATGTTTAGCATAGCAATTCAGAACAATACATGCAATATTTGAAATGTTATTCAAACTTTGTAAGTGAAAATGTTTATTGTTTCCTTTAACACTATGGGTACAAGTTACGGCCAGATGAAGAAATAAGTGATTCTTATATCTAGAGACCTTTTCGCTAGGACTTTGTTAAAACTAGATATCATGCTTAATTAAGAGATTCTAGTATTTTTCTTACGATATATTTATGTATGACTTGTTAGATGGTATACTAGATACTAGATTCTCTGTATGTTGTAGTGTGTAGAGAAAGTTTCCCACGACTCCTGCCCCATCTGCCTCGACTTCCTCCACACATCCAGGCGAGAGCTCCACGTCCCGCCTTGTGGGCATCTCCTTCACAGGTACATAACAGTCATGTCATCAAGTCATGAATCATTTTACATGAATCATCTGGGGTGGTTGGGTAGCCTAGTGGTTAAAGCGTTCACTCGTCATGCCGAAGACCGGGGTTTGATTCCCGACATGGGTACAATGTGTGAAGCCCATTTCTGGTGTTTCTGATATTGCTGGAATATTGCTAAAAGTGGCGTAAAGGCACACTCACTCATTCACACATGGATCATCTAGCCACCCTTGTGCCCCATTCTTGACATGACTCATCTAGCCACCTTATGCTCTATACTTGACATGAGTCATTAGCAATCCTTGATGCACTATAACTGACATGGCTTCTCTAGCCACCCTTGTGCCCTTTTCTTGACATGACTCATCTAGCCAGCTTATGCACTGTACTTGACATGAGTCATTAGCAATCCTTGATGCACTATAACTGACATGGCTTCTCTAGCCACCCTTGTGCCCTACACTTGACATGGCTCATCTAGCAACCTTATGCTCTATACTTGACATGAGTCATTAGCAATCCTTGATGCACTATAACTGACATGGCTTCTCGAGCCACCCTTGTGCCCTACACTTGACATGGCTCATCTAGCAACCTTATGCTCTATACTTGACATGAGTCATTAGTAATCCTTGATGCACTATAACTGACATGGCTTCTCTAGCCATCCTTGACCCCTGAAGACCCGAGGTAGACGGGTCTTCAACAACCCATGCTTGCCGTAAAAGGCGACTAACGGGATCGTGTGGTCAGGCTCGCTGACTTGGTTGATGCATGTCATCAATCCCAATTGCATGGATCTATGCTCATGATATCAATCCCTGGATTGTCTGGTCCAGACTCGATTATTTACAGACCGCCGTCATATAACTGGAATATTGCTGAGTGCAGCGTTAAACAAAACAACAAACCAACCAACTGTATCTGATCCAACTCGTCAGACCAAGTTCGACAATGATGCCCCGTCATGAAGTGGAAGGGGGATATAGGAATGGGTGCCGTCCGTCCGTCCTTCAGTCCGTCCTTCCATCTGTCCGTCCGTCCGTCCGTCCGTCCGTCTGTTCGTCACATTTCGTTTCCGGAGCAGATCTTGAAAACTGTACCATATTTCTTCACCAAACTTGGCACATAGATAGGTCTAGTGGTGAACTGGTGCCTTTTGATAGTTTGGGATTTTAAAAAAAAGTTATTTTTCAAGTTTCCATGGCAATGACTTTGATTTAGACTGAAAATGGCAGTAGTCTTCGTTTCCGGAGCAGATCTTGAAAACCGTACCATATTTCTTCACTAAACTTGGCACATAGATAGGTCTAGTGGTGAACTAGTGTCTTTTGATAGTTTGGGATTTAAAAAAAAAAATTAACTCGAGTTTCCATGGCAATGACTTTGATTTAGGCTGAAAATGGCAGTAGTCCTCGTTTCCGGAGCAGATCTTGAAAACCGTACCATATTTCTTCACCAAACTTGGCACATAATAACATCTCGTAGTATTGAATACAAAAAGGCCCAGTGAACATAGTTCACAGGAGCTAATGCATTGCACACGACCGGACATGTCATATTGGTGGGGGATATGAGTATTTCATGTTTGTTTGTAATTAACTTCTATCAAACAACTGTTTAACAATTCTTGTATTGACTTGTCACAGCGACCTCTTAAGTCTTATGAGCAACACACATGTCCACGGTAGCGTAGTCAATTTCATCATCATGACCTGCATGTGCCCAACATGCGTACTCCATCTCTACCTGTAGCAATCCAAATATGTTTGCCTAAATTCTGTGCAACACCTACTTGTCTCAAATGTGTTTTGTGAGTTGGTTTAACTTAACCTGGATTACGATAAGTGCCTTCACTTGACATGGTGTTTTCAAAATGTGTGAACTTATTACAAGATATTCTTTTACCCTTAAGCCTATGTCATCTAATGTTCTGTTTATGTGTTTTTTTCCATTTACAGAGACTGTTTCGCAGATCTACTCAAGACAGGGTATGTAACACTTTTGTTTTACATCCTGATTCATATTTTATCAGAAAAAAGCTTAAATAGTTCTATAAAAATAGAAATTTGAATTCAAACAACACTTTTCTCAAAAGCTAAATTAGTTTTTTGATCTAGATCAATTGAGCCAAAGATGATGAATCATATCACATAGTTCTAGAAAATGCTCCAATTTCAAACACAAAACTTTCTTAATCATCTAGACCCTCCTGACAATGGGAACCATGTCACCAAGTCAGAAATCATTCCAATGTAGGTCGATTCTCATAAAACACTATTGTAGCAGTGATGTTGTTTATGATGTAGAAACTATGCCTGCCCTGTGTGCAACCACTCCATAGTGAAGATGGATGAAGTGTGGGAGAACGTGGATGAAGAGATCGCCAACACAGAGATGCCTGATGAATACAAGGACATGGATGTGGACATTCTGTGTAGGGACTGTCACAAGGTAGATACATGGGGATCTGTAGTGTAGGACGGTTACAAGGTAGATACATGTGGATCTGTAGTGTAGGACGGTTACAAGGTAGATACATGGGGATCTGTAGTGTAGGACGGTTACAAGGTAGATACATGTGGATCTGTAGTGTAGGACGGTCACAAGGTACAGACATGTGGATATGTAGTGTAGGACGGTCAAACGGTAGATACATGTGGATCTGTAGTGTAAGACGGTCACAAGGTAGATACATGTGGATCTGTAGTGTAGGACGGTCACAAGGTAGAGACATGTTGAGACTTCTGTGTAGGGACTGTCACAAGGTAGATACATGTGGATCTGTAGTGTAGGACGGTCACAAGGTACAGACATGTGGTGACTTCTGTGTAGAGACTGTCACAAGGTAGATACATGGGGATCTGTAGTGTAGGACGGTTACAAGGTAGATACATGTGGATCTGTAGTGTAGGACGGTCACAAGGTAGAGACATGTTGAGACTTCTGTGTAGGGACTGTCACAAGGTAGATACATGTTAAGACTTCTGTTTAGGGACTGTCACAAGGTAGATACATGTTGAGACTTCTGTGTAGGACTGTCACAAGGTAGATACATGTAGAGACTTCTGTGTAGGGACTGTCACAAGGTACAGACATGTAGAGACCTCTGTGTAGGGACTGTCACAAGGTACAGACATGTAGAGACTTCTGTGTAGGGACTGTCACAAGGTACAGACATGTAGAGACTTCTGTGTAGGGACTGTCACAAGGTACAGACATGTAGAGACTTCTGTGTAGGGACTGTAACAAGGTAGATACATGTAGAGACTTCTGTGTAGGGACTGTCACAAGGTACAGACATGTAGAGACCTCTGTGTAGGCACTGCCAGAAGGTACAGACATGTAGAGACTTCTGTGTAGGGAGTGTCACAAGGTACAGACTTGTAGAGACTTCTGTGTAGGGACTGTCACAAGGTACAGACATGTTGAGACTTCTGTGTAGGGACTGTCACAAGGTACAGACATGTAGAGACTTCTGTGTAGGGACTGTCACAAGGTACAGACAGGTAGAGACTTCTGTGTAGGGACTGTCACAAGGTAGACACATGTAGAGACCCCTGTGTAGGGACTGTCACAAGGTAGACACATGTTAAGACTTCTGTGTAGGCACTGTCACAAGGTAGACACATGTAGAGACTTCTGTGTAGGGACTGTCACAAGGTACATACATGTTAAGACTTCTGTGTAGAGACTGTCACAAGGTAGATACATGTTAAGACTTCTGTGTAGGGACTGTCACAAGGTACAGACATGTAGAGACCTCTGTGTAGGTAGTGTCACAAGGTACAGACATGTAGAGACTTCTGTGTAGGACGGTCACAAGGTACAGACATGTAGAGACTTCTGTGTAGGGACTGTCACAAGGTACAGACATGTAGAGACTTCTGTGTAGGGACTGTCACAAGGTAGATACATGTAGAGACTTCTGTGTAGGGACTGTCACAAGGTACAGACATGTAGAGACTTCTGTGTAGGGACTGTCACAAGGTACAGACATGTAGAGACTTCTGAGTAGGGACTGTCACAAGGTACAGACATGTAGAGACTTCTGTGTAGGGACTGTCACAAGGTAGATACATGTTAAGACTTCTGTGTAGGGACTGTCACAAGGTACAGACATGTAGAGACTTCTGTGTAGGGACTGTCACAAGGTACAGACATGTAGAGACCTCTGTGTAGGGACTGTCACAAGGTAGATACATGTTAAGACTTCTGTGTAGGGACTGTCACAAGGTAGATACATGTTAAGACTTCTGTGTAGGGACTGTCACAAGGTAGATACATGTTAAGACTTCTGCGTAGGGACTGTCACAAGGTAGATACATGTTAAGACTTCTGTGTAGAGACTGTCACAAGGTAGATACATGTTAAGACTTCTGTGTAGGGACTGTCACAAGGTAGATACATGTTAAGACTTCTGTGTAGGGACTGTCACAAGGTAGATACATGTTAAGACTTCTGTGTAGGGACTGTCACAAGGTAGATACATGTAGAGACTTCTGTGTAGGGACTGTCACAAGGAAGGTACATGTGGATCTGTAGTGTAGGAGGGTCACAAGGTAGAGACATGTTGAGACTTCTGTGTAGGGACTGTCACAAGGTAGATACATTTGGATCTGTAGTGTAGGACGGTCACAAGGTAGAGACATGTTGAGACTTCTGTGTAGGTACTGTCACAAGGTAGATACATGTTGAGACTTCTGTTTAGGGACTGTCACAAGGTAGATACATGTTGAGACTTCTGTGTAGGGACTGTCACAAGGTAGATACATGTTAAGACTTCTGTGTAGGGACTGTCACAAGGTACAGACATGTAGAGACCTCTGTGTAGGGACTGTCACAAGGTACAGACATGTAGAGACCTCTGTGTAGGGACTGTCACAAGGTAGATACATGTTAAGACTTCTGTGTAGGGACTGTCACAAGGTAGATACATGTTAAGACTTCTGTGTAGGGACTGTCACAAGGTAGATACATGTTAAGACTTCTGTGTAGGGACTGTCACAAGGTAGATACATGTTAAGACTTCTGTGTAGAGACTGTCACAAGGTAGATACATGTTAAGACTTCTGTGTAGGGACTGTCACAAGGTAGATACATGTTAAGACTTCTGTGTAGAGACTGTCACAAGGTAGATACATGTTAAGACTTCTGTGTAGGGACTGTCACAAGGTAGATACAAGTTAAGACTTCTGTGTAGGGACTGTCACAAGGTAGATACATGTAGAGACTTCTGTGTAGGGACTGTCACAAGGAAGGGACATGTGGATCTGTAGTGTAGGAGGGTCACAAGGTAGAGACATGTTGAGACTTCTGTGTAGGGACTGTCACAAGGTAGATACATGTTAAGACTTCTGTGTAGAGACTGTCACAAGGTAGATACATGTTAAGACTTCTGTGTAGAGACTGTCACAAGGTAGATACATGTTAAGACTTCTGTGTAGGGACTGTCACAAGGTACAGACATGTAGAGACCTCTGTGTAGGGACTGTCACAAGGTACAGACATGTAGAGACTTCTGTGTAGGGACTGTCACAAGGTACAGACATGTAGAGACTTCTGTGTAGGGACTGTCACAAGGTAGAGACATGTAGAGACCTCTGTGTAGGGACTGTCACAAGGTCCAGACATGTAGAGACCTCTGTGTAGGGACTGTCACAAGGTGCAGACTTGTAGAGACTTCTGTGTAGGGACTGTCACAAGGTACAGACATGTTGAGACTTCTGTGTAGGGACTGTCACAAGGTAGACACATGTTGAGACCTCTGTGTAGGGACTGTCACAAGGTACAGACATGTAGAGACTTCTGTGTAGGGACTGTCACAAGGTACAGACATGTAGAGACTTCTGTGTAGGGACTGTCACAAGGTACAGACAGGTAGAGACCTCTGTGTAGGGACTGTCACAAGGTACAGACATGTAGAGACTTCTGTGTAGGGACTGTCACAAGGTACAGACATGTAGAGACTTCAGTGAAGACTGACATTCACATTGCCTTGCCCATACAAATCCATACTGCTCTGCACCTTCAAGAAATTACCATAATAAGAAGGAATGAGATAAAATATACAGAAAATTACTCATGCACCCTCTTTCCCCTCATTATAAATTCAGGATTTGTATTTTATCTGCACTCATTCTGTTTTGAAACAAATTTATACAGTAACTTCTGTTTGACGAGTAGTTCATGTAGTAGTCATTTTACTTTAACCCCTACTGGCCCGTGAAGACGCCAGGGTGGAATAGGTCTTCAGAAACCCATTCATGCCGTAAAAGGTGACTATGCTTGTCGTAAAAGGCGACTAAAGGGATCGGGGGTCAGGCTCGCTGACTTGGTTGATGCATGTCATCGATCGCAATTGCGTGGATCAATGCTCATGATATTAATCACTGGTTTGTCTGGTCCAGACTCGATTATTTACAGACCGACATCATATAGCTGCAATATTGCTGAGTGCGGCGTTAAACAACAAACCAACCAACCAAATCTAATCCCTATTGTTGTAGAGTTGTCTCCCTTTGAATGAAATCCAAGTGAAAACTAAATCTGTCTGATAAGGTAAAGATTTTAGAAAAATCAGAGTTTATTTTACCAGTTTTGTTCATAATCTTAATGTCTGATATTTCATCTAAACTGTCTCTGCTGCAGGATAGCAATATCAAGTGGCATGTTTTGGGCCTCAAGTGCAGTCACTGCGGGTCGTACAATACGTGTCGCAAATAGAGGCAGTAACCACACTTGCAGGTAGGTGTATTTGTCCTGATAGAAAATTCAGCCTTTAAAGGGTTCCACAGACAATTTCATAATATACTACTAAAAAGAATTCAAAGAACAAAGTACAGCAAAAACATTATGGATAACAACTTCTTAAATTATACTGTGATAGTGACGTTTCAGTATAGATCCTTATACTGTTGACAATGGAATTAGGATCTACAGTAGAATGTTGTCAACTGTATAAGGAACTATACCAAGACATCGCTTTTATAGTAAGATAAAGAAGTTGTTATCCATACAAAATTGTTGTCTACTTTTTCTAAAAGTCGGGACCACCTCTGTGGTCTAGTGGTAGAGTGTCCGCCTGAAGAGCAGAAGGTTCGAGGTGCAATCCCCGGCCGCGTCATACCAAAAGACGTTAAAAGATGGTACTTGTGTTAAATTGGTATCTCAGTGGGCTAGCACTATAAATCAGCACCAGTCCGGACTAGTACAAGCTGACACACACACACACACACACACACACACACACACACACACACACACACACACACACACACACATCGCTATATAAGTGCAATAATCTTGAACGCAATGTTAAACTCCCATTTCACATCACCTTCTAAAAGTCTGCTATGACAGACTAACTGTAGTAGTATGGAAGAAGTGGGTGTTTTTTGGCTTCTCTTATATATGTTCTCCAAGCATGGTAGTACATGGACGTATGTGCAAGTTTAGATTTCTTAAAATGACATCAGCAAACACTATCAACCAGACAAAAACATCAATTTCTACAAATATAGAATACTAAACGAGCTCCCGTGTAATACCAATTTTATGAAACGAGTGAATAGTTGTGGTATCTGACGAGCGAAAGTTTTACACGGGGGCGAGTTGAGTATTTTATTTATTACTTGCCATTTATAACGTTTTTAGAATTATACTGTTGAACGGCTGTATACTGAGTATGAACGGCTGACACCTACACGATCCACGGCATAGTCCAATTGAGTTTAACAGAATAATACTTCAAACACGTCAAAAGTTTAAACGTATTAATTTAATACCATACAACGGTCCACCTTTAGAATTCACAAAATTATCATAGGTCTAAGACTATCGCAACTCACATACTTTAACAGACTAACGACTGTCGTAGCGCTACAATACGATTGCCTTGTGGAACGGGCCTTGCACCTCAAAGTTTTCAATAACGTCACAATACCCGATGACGTAATTTGTGGAATTTTGTTGCAAGATCCATCGGCGAAACAATGCCATGTGACGTCAGCCTAGAAACAAGGTTGCTGGGGTCATCGAGTGTGCATAAGCTCCTCTCAGTGATCTATCAACTCCACACGCAATGTCGTTGAATAAGCCAAGGGATGTTGAGAGCTTTCCATATTTGTTCGTGAAATGTGTTCCGAGAGTACAAAAGCACGCGTTTTGGTATTACACAATGTGTAATACAGCTGTATGTTTATTAAACGGGTGATCTCTTCACGGGCAAGTAATAAACCTCTTTACACATTAATTTCAACATTTGTTTACATTGTTCATTGGGAGATCTATTTATTTATTTTTCAGATGTCAAAGCAGAGAATGCATCACGGAATACATCTACCAATGGCCTAGAACAAGATCATTTCTCGATGATCAGATAGTTATATGAATATGCATTAAGATATAACAAGACAGCCCATTCCTCTAATACTGATATAATGGACACTAACCTAACATGTAATTTTTGTACTTCTGTCAGCGAACCTTAAGCACCTGAAGAATGACAATCGTACCTCACATAACATATAACTTGCTTTGTTTAAATTTAGATTGCCCCGATCATAATCCATGTTCTGTTAGCATGCTTCACTCTGCTCTTTCACATGAAGCCGACACCTCACTCACAAGAAATTCATTATGAATTTGGGTGTGGTATTTGGAAGGTGTAATATTTTTCTGTGTAGTCATGTTCTGGCAGTGTAAACCTCTCATTTGGACTGATCTCATTTGGACAGACAGGTTATAATATGTTTAGGGCTACTAACAATGAATCGGGGCACTGGAATATTATTGTTAAGTTTGTTTCCAGAACATATACCCATCGCTTCCCAGATACATGAAGTCAATAAAACACGACCTTAGATGATGATGATGATGATGATGATGATGTATCTTGAGTATCAGTTGCTGTAGTCTAAGTGCATTAATTTCCAATACAGGGTGACAAATTTCTGCTGATCTGCAGAATTCCAGAGAGCGACGTGAGTTGTGACTGTGTGTATCTAGAACCTGACTGAGACCTTCAGCTCTTCAGCTGATACATTGTTGTTGTTGCCCCTGGATGTGTGTTTTGTCTGCAAATATTTCAAATAATCACCCGTTAATGGTCAGTAGATGCATGAAGAAACAATGAATCACACCTTGTATACAACTGGGGTAGTGGGGTAGCCTAGTGATTAAAACGTTCACTCGTCATGCCAAAGACCCGGGTTCGATTCCCCACATGGGTACAATGTGTGAAGTCCATTGATATTGCTGGGATATTGCTATAAGCAGTGTAAAACCAAACTCACTCACTTGTTTACAAGTGTGTGATACTTCCCCAGCAACCTGTGCATGTATTTTATAGGGGCGACAAGATGGATCGAATGGTTAGACTCAGTGACGTGTTCATAGCGTGTGTTCATACCCCGACTCTGCGGATCGTTGCTCACAATATTGATCACTGTATTGTCTGGTCCTGACTTGACTATTTACAGGCCGCGGTCATATAGCTGGAATATTGCTCAGTGGCGTGTCAAGCAACAAACAAAGAAAGCAAACCTAACCATCAAACCCGATGAAAGTCATAATGTGTGTTTCACCAAAGTGGTAAATATAAATGACCTTTGTCAATTTTGGGCTTTCCAGCCAGATTAGGCATTTACAAGGTGATATAATAAAATACGTTTCCACCAAACTCTCACACTACCATTTAAAACCATATGACAGACCTTCCTAACAGATGGCAAAGCTCTTGCTGGAGTAATCATGGAGCATGGAGAATAGGAACACATTTTGTAACTGTTGAATACAACACTCCATGTATGACTACCAAGCTTAATACACCTGTAGGAGATTGTTTAATCTTCCATGTTTAGAGTTATATCATGGTTATACCTTGATTCTATTCAGTATTGAGGCGACTAATGGGATGGTCAGACTCGCTGATTTGGTTGATGCATGTCATCGATCCCAATTGCTTGGATCGATGCTTATGATATTGATCACTGGATTGTCTGGTCCAGACTCGATTATTTACAGACCGCCGTCATATAGTTGAAATATTGCTGAGTGCTGCGTTAAACAACAAACAAACAAACCAAACAAATGTATCTGATCCTACTCGTCAGTTGTAAATGTATAATTAACAATGACACAATAGGTAATTACTATCCAAAACTCTATTTTTGCGGTCAATTAATTTCTGAACAACATTCCTTTGCTACATGGTTCCTTGAAATTGAGCAATGTTAACATATATATTGACCAACTAGATGTTGCTCGAAGTCAGGGTAGAATTGTTACCTTGTTGCTGTTTCAGTTATGTTTATATTGTTATATTGACTGTGAATATTCAAAAATGATTGTTAATCTTTTACATGTACTTCCAGTTCAGAAATTAAGTTTGTTTTGTGAACATGATATTATGTTTCTTTGAACTTGTTATCAACCTCTTTCATATGGACTGTCAAATGTGTGACTGTGTCAACTTGGCAACGAGAACACTGGACATATGTTTAAAGGCAAGATTGTCTGGTCCAGACTTGATTATTTGAAGGCTGCCGTCATATAGCTGGAACATTGCTGAGTGCAGCTTAAACAACAAACCAACCAACCATTTACCTGATGAATTGTAAGAGCTAGTTACAATTCTAACGGACAGTACAAGATAGCTCCAGTTGATGCTAACATAGAGAATGTGGACAAATACCCATACAAATTGTAAATAATCTGAATCGTTTCATCTTTACTGTTTGTTCAAACTAAATCAGTTACTCTGACAACTACAGATATATAGAGGAACAATAAAAAAATGTAAGTGAGTCTTTATGCCAGTAAGTTGAATTTACACTATGGGGTTATAGATAGTGCCTAGTTGCCATGGTTGCCAGTGATGATGTCGGATGAAGCAGGAGCTAGTTCTGTTTTGTTAGGATACAAGATTTTTATATGTTTTTCATATAATAATGCTTCTATGTTATTCAGGTACTATACAAAGCTTTGCCTTGACAACAGCTACAGTGAAGCCTCAATCCTATCTATTTACAGCAATATTACGCCACACCCATTATTTATTAGTCGGGAAGTATGTTAATCGCAAGTTTTTTCTCTAGAATTAAGGAGGTTTCACAGTATACAGATTATACAGCAGCAAGCTATTTGATTGGCTAGCCAAGCAATTGTTTTTGCCATGAACCGGAACACAATTATGCCACGCCCAATAACAGACTACTGCTTCCTGATTGGCTGACACTAGAATGGAAGAGGCTTGTTTTTCATTATTGCACAGAACGATGTCACTGAGGTTGTTGTCTAAAGTTGTTTGTTTGTTAATCATTAAATAAGCTGCCTGTGAAATTAATTTTATTGACATGTATATTAATAAGTATTGATTTCAGTGTTTTTTGGGCATTTATAGTGTTATGAACATAGAAACCAATGAAGGTCTTCGTGAATTTACACAGTATGCACAACATTTTTTTTACGTGTATGCCTCCATAAACACAAAAACAATTTGAAGTCAATTCTTTATCAAACACAACTTTTCTTGTCTGCTAACTGCAATATTTGATGTTTATCATTAGAGCTGTTAAACATGGCACTAATTACAATGCCTAGACATCGACAGCCTTGATTATCCTGGGTATTATATCTCCATTCTGCTACAAGTACCCTGGACCCAATCGCCACCCTTGTTTTTCTTTGAGCCCGATTCAAATTACAAGTCTGTTTGTTTAACGCCGCACTCAGCAATATTCCAGCTATATGACGGTCTGTAAATAATTGAATATGGACCAGACAGTCCAGTGATTGACATCATGAGCATCGATGTATACAATTGGGATACGATGACATGCATCAACCAAGTCAGTGAGCCTGACCACCCGATCCCGTTTGTCGCCTCCTAGGACAAGCATGGGTTGCTGAACTATTCTTATCCAGAATCTTCTCAGGACCAGTGATAAGAGTGATGGTGGTGTCACTTCTGAAATGAGGATTTTGTGGCAATTGTGTCCAGTGTATTTATCATGATTGAATTGGGCACGGGTGGCCCAGTCGTCGAAGGTGCCGCGATTCGCTGTGCAGAGTTGCGTCCCTTGGGCACGTCAGAAACCTATGATTGCGGTTAGAATTCCCAGTTCGCCCTGATTATGTTTCTGGGTTTGTCAGCACCATAACCGTGCTCATGGGTTTCACCTAAGTTATAAACGTCTGAGACCTGCATCACATCGGGCTTTCCATTTTTCCATTAAGCTGACACACCGCGATATAACTGGAATACTGTTAAAAGCGCCGTTAAACCCAACTCACTCACTCACTCACTATCATGATTGAACGGGGAAATACCCTGGATGATCCAGGACAACATGGAACAAGGTTCCTCTGTGTACCCCGACTCCCTCACTTGACGCCTTGACTATGTATCAAGTGATGTGGAGATGTATGTTTCTATTTTAAGTTAATGTACAACTTTGCTGCAAACACAACATTAACTAACATTATCTTTGATCTTGTTCTTACCTGAATTTTGAGAATCACATGACTAAAATCTCTTCTCATTTACTTTGAAGGTTTTCAGGTATTGATACAGTTATGTGATCGCGCTTTCATTTTTTATGAATAAATGTATTATAACTTATATCTAGATTTTCACCATGAAAGAACATTGAAAAACATTTTCTGTGAAAAAAACAAATCCTTGATGTAACATCTTTTTATTTGAAATGTTTCATTGACGTATATTTTTCTATATCTTTAAAAAAACATCTGATCTTGACCTGAAATAATACTTTCACACTCTTAATGATCCTGCAGGCTTACATATTTTGCCTGGGTTTAAGGATACATACTTCACAGGGACGGATGGACCAATTTGCTTCATGCACAATAATTCACTGTGCAAATTAATGTCCATTAGGCATGTTATCAGTGCCAACATCCTATGATGGTTCGAATCCCAGCATCAACCAGATTATGATTCATAGTTTGTCATTTCCGCTTTCGTGAGTTTCAACAAATTGGTTTGCATTTTCCTCTCACATTGAGCAGACACATGATATTAGTAATGTATTATTTGGGATAACACTTCCTTCGTAAGGTACAGATTCTAGTACTTTTTGGGGGGGTCGAGTCCCATCCGAGATTCGAACCCACACTGCCAGAGTGAGGCACCTAATCCCCAGCACAATCTAACCCACTCATCCACCGAATGGAAGCCTCGGAGGCCGAGTGGAAGCCTCGGAGGCCGAGTGGGTTTGATGGCTGACTTTGAGTGCTGGTATGCAGGGGATTAGGTACTAGAATCTGTACTTTACTAAGAAAGTGTTATCCCAAATATAACATTTGATCCAAATGACCACTTTCTAAATGTCATTGTGTGTTGACATCATGGTATGATACGATGGTACGATATTAAACCTATCTAAATCAACCACCTACTATTGTTAATTCAGAATATGTGATTTCAGTCTACCTCCTATGTACAATCATCATTAACATGGTCCAATAGACAGAGTAAGGTCTCCTCAACCTTTGAGTCATATATTCATATTTAATGAATATGAGCTGTATATCCGTAGAATATGTCCATTACTGCACCTGCTACACAATATTAGTTTCCAATGCCTCTGTACACATATACATGTACCTTATAATGAATAAAATTCTGTGATTTCTTCTTTAGTATGTTTTTATTTTTGCGTAAAGCATAACATATCCGGTCATAGTTTGTTTGTTTGTTTGTTGGATAACACCACACTTAGCAGTATTCCAGATACATGAGTGAGTCAGTATGGTTTTACGCTACTTTTAGCAATATTCCAGCAATATCGCAGAGGGGACACCACAAATGGGCTTCACATTGTACCCTTGTCGAGAATCGAACCTGGGTCTTCAGGGTGACGAGCAAACGCTTTAACCACTGGGCTACCCGACAGCCCATGCAGCTATATTAAGGCGGTCTGCAAATAATGGACCAGATCAATGCTCATGATGTCAATCACTGGATTGTCTTGTCCAGACTCGATTATTTACAGACCACTGTCATACAGCTGGAATATTTCTGAGTACAGCGTTAGACAACAAACACTGGATTGTCTGGTCCAGACTCAATTGCTGAGTTGTGCGTTAAACAACAAACGAATATTGTATTAAAATAAATTGTAATGACACAAAAAAGACAAACTATATATTTCTCATTCACTCGAACATCTTTTATTTCGAAAAGACGCCATGAAAAGCATTCATTAATTTCAAAATGATTTTCAGCAAGGGAAGTATTTTATGTTTTGATATGTTTTTGTTATGAACACATTGCACCAGGCATACGCCAGGTATTCATATATATTATTCAAACTTCCGTTTGGACTTTGTAAGGAATCCAAGCACATTTATCATTGTAATATCGGGAACTGCCCTTGCTGATAATCAATTATCAGTTCATTGAAAATAGAATATTAAGCTGGGCCATGAAACCTAACTCCATAATGAAATCTTTTAGAAACGCAAAACTTCGCCTTAATTTTGACCCTAGATCTGTTACCTAAGTCAATCCTTTGCTCTGTTCGCTGATGAAAGGAAAGACGTTAATATTTTTATGTTACGTATATATAAGTGCATTAAGTGTATATCAAGTACTGTACATCAGTATGAAAAAAATAGAGGGTGTCAGTACAGTACTATGCCCCATTGTGTAAGAAGTAAGTTTACTAGATAAAATCCCCACCGACCAATGGTTTGAAACTTAAACAGTGGCGAGAAATGAATAAGTAATGAATTTCAGTTCAGGTTACAAAGTAAATTATTTTATAAATATCACATTGCATCAATCACATGCCCAGCAGAATACACTACTCTCCTGATGCAAACTCACTCTCCCTGACAAGTCTTGTTTGAGTTTAATATTTTCAAATCAAACAATTACCTTTTTCCAAAATTCAAATCTTCTTCTGAGAAGACTTGTTTCAATTATTATCATTTAAACGAACGCGCAATCGTAACATATGTAACCAACTCCCTTTGTTTTATTCGAAATAAGGTTCCATATGTTAGTAGAACTTTTGCCATAAAGTAGAAGGGAACCTTGCAATCGAAAGATAAGGGTGAGGTAAGGTGTCGTGTTCTCAGATATAAGTAATACAAAGGCTTCTCGAAAAGACATAAGCTGTTAATAGTCCTATGTCGCAAGGTGTCCCTTCCCCATCGGCAGGCAGTTACTACTTGGCGCCAAGCCATTGATACTGGCCATCGTCATATACGGTGTTGTAAGTCTTAATCGAGTGCATCTCGGAATTCGGTACATACATCATTTTATGTTGATTCCCGTTCTACAATTTACATTGACATTTCTGTGTCACGTCTTAAATTGTATTTGAAGACACAATGCTTATCAGTTTAGGAAGATGCCGCAAACTGCATTACCTGACTTTGAACAGATCCGCGAACAGACCCTGTGAATTGTAGTTTTAGACATACTTCTGGTTGCTGACTACATTTTGAGATAAGTCTGTAGGTGATGGGATTGTAAGGTTCTACAAGAACCGACACAATTGACCTTACGTCGTTTACAGGAACATTATGTGTACAGCGAAGGTATAGGCGAGTTATGTGCCACCATTGTGTAACACTCATACTCGCAACCAAAGCTAGGACAGTTAATGGTACACTGTTTCATGTAAAGCTTCTACATCACAGCTCGATGCATGTATCAGCTACAACAGGCTAAAGCTGGTGTACCAAAGTGCAATGCTGCAACTGTAAAACAGTGCAACGATACCACAGCACAATGATGCAACGATATCAAAGCACAATGTTGCAACACTAAGCACAGCGCAACGATATCAAAGCACAATGTTGCAACACTAAGCACAGCGCAACGATATCAAAGCATAATGTTTCAATAATAAGAACAGTGCAACGATATTAAAGCACAATGCTAGAGCACTAAGCACAGTGCAACAATACTGCAGCACAATGCTGCAACATCAAGCACAGTGCAACGATACCAAAGCACAATACTGTAACACCAAGCACACTGCAGCGATACCAAAGCACAATGGTGCAATAGTAAGCACAGTGCTGCGATACCACAGCAACTATATTACTACCTTCAAAGAATCATGTCAGAATGATTTTGCTTCACCAGACGGCCAGTTTGAATGTAAACTTTATAACAGCTAACCTCAAAAACCAATTATACTCAGAACCAACATAAGCATTAACCAGAATTAGCACCGTAAGTACGAGCGTGATGAAAAGTTTGGAATGTCTGGCACGATGACTGGGTAAACACAGCACTGCTTCACAAGACGCATTGGCCTGTCTGTGTCTATGCTGATTGCCTGGGGACGAAACTGATCTTGGCTGGCCGGTCTGGGGTCATCACAGTGTTGAGAACAGGCTCCAGGTCCTCGTGGTGATACTCAAGCTTGAAGTTCTGGACGATCTGAAGTGTAATGATGGTTGATGAAATGTAACGAAAAACGCCTTGCTTTACACGATGTCAATCTGATACGGTAAGTAAACTTCTAGTGATGACCATTTCTGGCTTGCTGGATTTAGATTGAGATACACGTAACTGGCTAATCATAACACTAGCCTTCAGTTTTTATACGTTTTCTGTATCTGATCCGACTCGTGAAGACCCGGGGTAGAATAGGTCTTCAGCAACCCATGCTTGCCGTAAAAAGGCGACTAAGCTTGACGTGAGAGGCGTCTAACGGGATCGGGTGGTCAGGCTCGCTGACTTGGTTGATGCATGTCATCGTATTCCAATTGCGTGGCTCGATGCTCATGATGTCAGTCACTGGAATGTCTGGTCCAGACTCGATTATTTACAGACCGCCGTCATATAGCTGGAATATTGCTGAGTGCGGCGTTAAACAACAAACGAACAAACATTTCTGCGAAAATCTACCTTTGCATTATACCAGGAACACCTTTTGGGAGCTGATTACCAATAGAACCTCACCTGGTGTCATTGTTATTATTGATATTTGCATGTGTGTTTCAGAGAAATTAACACATGCACATATGCATACCATAGAACAAAGTGCCATACTTTCCCACAATCAATGAAGAGCTTTGATTTGCAAGGGCCCGAAAGTTCGATAAGGAAAACCTTTGGGACCGGCGTTCCTCAAACTGACCCTACCCAAGTCAGCAACGACAGAACCTAGTATACATTGTCCTGGCTTTTGGGGGTTCCTTCCATCCATCCTATTGCCTACGATTTTGAATTGTCCTTTTATTCTCCTTTGCTGAACCTAATCAATTAAGATGTCGACAAACCATATTGTTGTCAACCTACCTTTGCTAGTGCTAAATGAACCTCCTGCTCGGCGAATCTACGTCCAATGCACATGCGAGCGCCATGGCCCCAGATCAGGTTAGATAGAGCTTTCTGTTTGTTGTCTGTGTTGCCACGCAACCATCTTTCAGGTTGAAATTTCTCTGGTTCTGAGTAGAGTTCTGGGTTACGAAACATCCCGAAGAGATTGGCCTGCACATGTGTCTGTAAAATGATTCATTGTAATAATAATTATACATATGTCATGCGTATTTATACCAAACACGAGCATTTCATGTGTGACAGTGTGGCTTTGTTTGTTTAATACTGAAATGAAAACTTTAAGTCTATGTTAATGTGGAAGGCTGGAAGCATTATAAATGACTCAGCTGGGTTACAACACGGCGTTGTTTGATGAAACCAACGATCACGGGTATGGTGCTGGCAAACCTAGTAACCTAATCAGGGCGAATCGGGATTCGAACCCAATATATCTAGGTGTCTGGCACAAGTAAGGAACATAACTTTGTACTGCGAATTGCGACGCCTTTTAAGACTGTGCCACCAGTCCCCTCCCCCCAGCCTCGTCCCCTTTAAACTTTTGAGTCTCCATGTTACTTACCCCAGCAGGGATCTCGAAACCTCCGACTTCCATCTTGTCTGGCAAGATTCGGCTTGTTGCAAATGTGATTGGATATAATCTAAAATAATAACATGCGATATTGAAATACTGAACTATGTCTAAATGAAAATAAACTGCCGGGGAAAAGAAAGTAAACACTAACCAATTTGACCAATAAATTGCAAACGTTAGCAAAACGTTACTAGGCTGAATACAGTTGCCGTAACACTGCAAACGTAGGTCCAACTATGATATCCCTTTATTTACATCACCACTTAATAACCATGTCTTGTTGGTTTCATTTGTAGCCACCATCAAACATGGATGTATATTTTCTATTGCCCGACAGTTTGGTATCATGCACGAGTAAATTGTTAGCAAAATAAACATTGTGTTGTGTTATAGCAATGATGAAATTGAAGCTTCAAACAGTTTTGGTCTACTGACGGGTTGTAATTCACACCCTACGTAACGTTCTGATTGGGATCTCTGTGTGAAATTCGCACGATGTTTCAATCAGCTTATTACTGACGCAGCTCTACTGGCTAGCCATTGTGTGATTCCGCCGACATCCAACAAAGGCATTCAACTCCCACACCTGGGAGAATATAGACTCCCGGCCCAATCTAAGAGCTCACGGTAAGCATGTAAGCATGTGACAAATAGTGTCTCATCCTCCCGTACTGCAACCTACCTGAGTGAGTGAGTTTGGTTTTACGCCGCTTTTAGCAATATTCCAGCAATATCACGGCGGGGGACACCAGAAATGGGCTTCACACATTGTACCCATGTCGGGAATCGAACCCGGGTCTTCGTCATGACGTGCGAACGCTTTAACCACAAGGCTACCCGACCGCCCCTCAACCTACCTGAACGTCTCCTTGAGCACGGCCTTTACGTATGGCAGTTGTGCCAGCTTCTGGGGTGTTATTTCAGCGTTGTGGGACAGCACCTTATTGATCTCTGAGTGCAGCTTCTCTTGCACTTCAGGGTTCTTGGCCAGGCTGTACAAGCACCATACAGTAGCATTCGACGTCTGTAATGAGAAACATAATATATATGTATGTGCGTTTGTTATATGTCACTGTGTCATTCTGTGTGTGTTTGTTTATTTGTTTGTTGTTTAACGCCGCACTGAGAAATATTCCAGCTATGTGACGGCGGTCTGAAAATAATGGAGTCTGGACCAGACAATCCAGTGATTGACATCATGAGCATCGATCCACGCAATGGGATACGGCCAAGCAAGGTATATACGGTATAAGGCTAGGGCCAAGGTATATACGGTATAAGGCTAGGGCCAAGGTATACACGGTATAAGGCTAGGGCCAAGGTATACACGGTATAAGGCCAGGGCCTATGTATATACGGTATAAGACTAGGGCCAAGGTATATACGGTATAAGACTAGGGCCAAGGTATATACGGTATAAGACTAGGGCCAAGGTATATACGGTATAAGGCTAGGGCCAAGGTATATATGGTATAACGTTAGGGCCAAGGTATACTAGTATACGGTATAAGGCTAGGGCCAAGGTATATACGGTATAAGGCAAAGGGCCAAGGTATATACGGTATACGGTTAGGGCCAAGGTATATACGGTATAAGACTAGGGCCAAGGTATATACGGTATAAGACTAGGGCCAAGGTATATACGGTATAAGACTAGGGCCAAGGTATATACGGTATAAGGCTAGGGCCAAGGTATATATGGTATAACGTTAGGGCCAAGGTATACTAGTATACGGTATAAGGCTAGGGCCAAGGTATATACGGTATAAGGCAAAGGGCCAAGGTATATACGGTATACGGTTAGGGCCAAGGTATATACGGTATAAGGCTAGGGCCAAGGTATATACGGTATAAGACTAGGGCCAAGGTATACTAGTATACGGCATAGGGCTAGGGCCAAGGTATATACGGTATAAGGCTAGGGCCAAGGTATATACGGTATAAGGCTAGGGCCAAGGTATATACGGTATAAGGCTAGGGCCAAGGTATATACGGTATAAGGCCAGGGCCAAGGTATATTTGGTATAACGTTAGGGCCAAGGTATACTAGTATACGGTATAAGGCCAGGGCCATGTTTCCAAGTTGAAGTATAGGTAGATTATCCATTTGCTTTGTGTTCCATCCAAGGTATACTAGTATACGGTATAAGGCCAGGGCCATGGTTCCAAGTTGAAGTATAGTTACATTAATCATTTGCTTTGTGTTCCAACCTTATAATAAAACTGATACATTGTGACTAGTATATTTATCAGTCTTTGATTTCATACAGGTGTTTTGGATTCTTTCAATGAAAATGTTTACGACAAACCATCTTGATGTATGTGTACTATCCTGTAAGACCCTTACCGTTTCCACGGCACCCATCATGAGATCAACTGCTGTTTCTGCGGCCTCTTCAGGGGACAAGGACTCCTGGGATAGGAGGTAGGTGAGGAAGGCGCCCTTCTCTTGGCCGTTCTCATCTGCCATGGAGCTCTGTAAGGCTTTCACTTTCTGGAAAATAGACACAAATAAAGTAAGAAACTGCAACTGAGCGCTTGGTGCTAAAATTGCTACTGCCCTTCATTTCAGTGTATGCTGGAATTCAAAATTGCGATGGCATTTGTGTCATACATTCTGCTATTACATACTTGACTACTTCTACTCGTATGATACCAGCTTATAACCACTGAAAAACCAACGCTAACAGGACTTAATAGGATGTCTTTATTCCATTGAAGCCTTGGTCATTTATATTAAACCATGCCTGAGGAATTTGACTCTTCAGTGTCATGAATAAAGACTGACTGATTGGCTGAGCGAGAGGGTTTAACACCACTCCGAAAAGAATTTCATTTATAGTGTTTGTGAAATGTGGAAGGAAAATCCTGAAGTAACACAGGCCGTCAACGTCTACAATTGTAGTGAAACCCACGAGATGGTGCTCCAGACCTAGAGTCGTGATCGGGGAGAATCTGGGATTCGAACCCATTATTAACATATCCTGTCAGAACGCAACTCAGCACGTCGAGCGGCGTCACCATGGACACCTCTTATAACTTTGTTCGTGTGATTATTCGGCTTGATTGTTTGTTTGTTTGTTTGTTGTTCAACGCCGCACCCAGCATTACTTCAGCTATATGAGGGCGGTCTGTAAATAATCGAGTCTGGACCAGACAATCCAGTGATTGAAATCATGAGCATCGATCGACGCAATTGAGATCGATGGCATGCATCAACCAAGTCAGAGAGCCTGACCACCCGAACCCGTTGGTCACCTCTCACGACAAGCATAGTCGCCTTTTACGGCAAACTTCGGATGCTGAAGACTTATTCTACCCCGGATCTCCACGGGTGGATTATAGGGTACAAACGTTTAAAACAAGCAACGCTGGAACCGACGAAGACACATAACTACCTTATCTACGAAGTATCTGCCACATTCTAAGACGTTATCGGAATATGCTTCATACTGCTTCCACAGCTTGGTAGGGAAGACCTTGTATATGGGGAGATTGTACATGAGGGGCTGCATCAGCTTGAACAAGCCCTGCAGGTTGTCGATGAAGGACTTGACTTCAGGATGGGGTTGACTGCTGAGGCAGCCGATGCGTTCCTCAAACAGGAAGGTGCCGATTGCTGTAATAGGAAGCACCCTGTTCATTAACACTGAAACCGTTTGTCGCTTATTTAATATATTAGTATATGTATTCATGTATTCATGTTATACAAAGACGGGTTTTGTATTACTAAGTGAAATAAAAAATTCCCATTTGATGTGAAAATGTCCCCATTCCTTAAAAGATACTGCACTTCAATAAAGTTTTAATATGAATCATTTGACTCTGCTGAAATATGCACTGTGAAATACATGTACGTATTTTTCAGATATTTATTAGTTATGACACCAGGAACAATATACACTACGTATATGGCGAGTACGTTAAAACATCACACATTATTGATAAGATTTCCACTAGGTTCGTATGTCATTAATTGTAACCTTGACCTTTGCTTCATGTTAGAGTAGAAGATGTAATGTTCCGAACTGACTCCAACCCATCTGCATTGTTCTGTACCATTTCATCGGAAACTTACATTCCATTGCCCACTTGAATAGTTCCTTCTCAAGTTCTGGGACCTCCTTGGATGTGGCGTCGCTGGCTTCCCTTAGCCTTGCAACGAAGTCATCCCCAACCTCGTTCATTGGCTGACAGAAGTCTGTCACCTCCTTCAGTTTCAGCATCTTCTTGCTGACCACTCTTCGATACCTGTGCCACTCCGCGCCTTGTCTGAAGGTGAAGGTCAGGTTATTATTGTATTGTCATGAGTAAAAACTAAATTATGCATAAAAAGTTTATTTCTGAGACTTTCTATCCTACATTGCATGGCTATTTTGTTTTGGTTTTTTGTCTGCTTGTTGATTAACGCCGCACTCAGCGATCTTCCATCAGTATGACGGCGGTCTGAAAATAGTCGAGTCTAGACCAGACAATCCAGTGATTGATATAATGAGCATCGACACAGAATTGAGATACGATGACATAACATGAACCAAGTCACAGAACATGACGAGCGTATCCATGTCGCCGCTTACGACAAGCATAGGGTGATGAGAACCTATATTCTATTCAGGAATCCCAACGGGTAGGAATATGGGTGATGCATTTCCATTGATCTGTAAATCTGTAACAACACAACCATCTTCCCCAGGCAAGGGTGGTAACTGACTATAAAAGTCCAGTTAACGCCCTTGCCTCGAGAAGATGCAACACAACCGATATCCTACACTGTGTATGGTCTCTAGCATCATAAACACAAATGCGTATAAATAATATATAGAAGCATCTATTAATGTTTATCAAAGGACATCAGTCCCGGCTTCCCTTTTTTCTGGGAACATTTTACGGGGCAAACTGAGATGATAATAATGGCACTTACGAATTGACGAGTCCAAGGCCGATGCCTTTCTGTGTTCTGTAGTGTGCCATGGGCTCCATCTCACGGCGAATGGGCGTCTTGCCCTCTGACCTGATAACCTTCTGGTATACATCCGGATCACTGATCACCACGTTCGTGATTGGTCCGAATTTCTCCTTGTAGATAGGTCCAAATTCGAGAGATCGTTGTCTGTAGGCCTGAATATGAATGAGTATACAACTGTTATACAGTTCAAAAGTGATGATCTGAGCTTGGGTCGATAGGCATTCCTGGCATGTTAGATTCAAGTCGTCCAAATCTCACTTTGTTTTTCTTCTAACTCAAAATTTCTACAATTACTATTTACCCTAACTACATCGAGACACTTTCAAGCGTGGTCCTGTTAACAATATCTAGACTTCTTATGGACACCAGGTCCTAAACTAAGTCCCTTTTTAAAGAACGACAGTTGTTCCAAGACATGATACATGTTTATACAAACAGAATTAACGCAAAAAAGTAAAACTAATGATGTTAGCGTCATAAGTATAAAACGTAAAGGAGAATTTGATAAAAGCCTATGATACCTGTGATGAGATCATATTATCTCTGGAGCGATCACATACGTTCTGGTACATGTTCACGTACACATAACAAGGTATCCTTTGCTTACCTCAAACATTTTGTCAAAACGGAGGCCATCTTTCTTGAAGTAGTCAAATATTGTTCCGAAGAACGGTAAGCCCTTGGGGCCTGGGATTGCCTCAAAGGGTTGTGGCTCATATTCCTGTGTTTGTGGTTGTACTGCGTCGTTCGATATTGGGGCTTTCATCAAACTCTCTAGGGAGTCCATCGTGCGACGTAGGGGGCACTGTAATTATGGGAAGGAGCTTTTATTTTCAGAATGAATTCTAACAGAAACAAATTATGGGTGAATATTTCCAATGTGTGTTCAGCCATGTCAATGAATAAACTTAAATGTAATGCAGCATGAGGATACACGGTCTGGCCTACACTTACTCCATCTTATATTTCACAAGTGGGGATGGATAATCAAGGATCTTCAACGTGAATAATCTGAAATTCGAACTCACTACCCGTAGATCCTGCCTATGGTCGCATTCATACTTCTGTATTGCAATAGGACTGTATGTTATTAAAACCTGTGCGTCATAAAGGATTTATCTAACATGATTTCAATGTTTTTGCACTGAACAACCCATTGTCCTTCGTTCTGCGAGTTGACGTTTCAATAAATGATGATGATATTAAGTATCACATCAGATCCAAATAATGACTAGGTAATGCTAATACGAAAGTAGACACGCCAATTCTATCTTGAATTTAATAGGATCGATAAATTCCTCCTCCACAAAATACACAAATACAACTTATGCAATGATTCATAACATATGCTCCTGATATGGTTTGGATCGCACAATGGACTCTGCTTTTAGTAGAGATTTTTTTATCATTATGGAAAAAAATGTCGCTTTTATTGACAGGTCGTCAGGCAGATTGATATAGGTAGAAATGCAAACGACAAAACCATTTCAATAATAACTGGATAAAAGCCACAAAAAATATTTCATCCAATGCTTTCGAGGACTTCCGTCTATTTTGACTACTCTTGAATGAGACGATCGGCACGTTACCACAAAGAGACATAAGTTCGATGTAAGGTATCAGTACCTGTTGTTCTAAACTTAAACCCTCGACATTCAGTACTGTGGCGCTCTGTTCAGCACGTGCAGACGTGGAGACGACCCGCTTGGCAGCAGACGATTCTTTCAAAAGTTTCAGCATGTATCTCCCTGGTGTTAGGCCGCTCATCTTTGGTTCTGGAAGAAGCAGACGACAACTGGAGAGGCTGATCCCAGCAGGTGGGATAATACGTGATGTTGATTATGTTATTGTCCACATGGTGTTAAGAAAGGCGATTAAATAAATATCCTTACGAGGCACTTTTGACATAATAAGTTTACGCGTCCTACAGTATAATAATTCAGACACTGTTCAACTGCGTAAGGTTATATTGTCACTACAGTACAGACGTGATAGATTTTAAAAAACATACTTTTGTGTACAGTTACTTTGTACATTATTTGGTGGACATTTGTATTCGGAAAGGGCCTCCGGTCCTACTTTACATGAAACCTCGGACAATATTTGGATGTTACCGAATCAAAATATATGTCTGTATTAGAATTCACATGTTTTATGATATATATGTAGCATCAATAGAAAGGAGATACATTTCATTATAACTTTAAAACTGAAGTATATTGTATATGCTGCATATACCTTTTGTAATTATAGACAAAATATACTTTTATGATTGTGAAATAAGTCGAATTATTTATAAACCCTCTTGTTTTATAAACAGCTGAACTAAAATTTGTTTTGGAGAATTATTCCTTTTTCAATAAAATATGTTTTATCCAAAAGATATCAAATACATGCTTTATTATTTTACTGTACAGATCACAATTCGATTGTACTAATCTTATTATCAAAAAGAAAACAATAACACTAAAGTCTAAATCTATTATTGCTATAAAGTTCATATAGAATTAAGACTCACCTTAAGTTTCTTGCTGAAGTTTCGTTACTAAATTTTGATGTTTTCTTTCAAAACAATTGGCCGTTACTTTCTGTTCTTGTTACAAAACTTCGGCCAAGGCGGGTCCTCTCGGGTCTACACGTCGTTGAGCCCAACTGAGCATCGAGGCCACTGTCACCAGCTCCTTTATACGCCAGCCTTCGATGGCTTATCCTCCCACACGGGGGCGGGATGAACGTCACAGCGGCCAGTTTGATTACCTCACTCATGTGATCACACCTTTTGCCAGGGTAGGCACGAGGCCATATGTCACGTGGGGCCCACTAATGACGCCGCTGGAGCATTTCGATCGTGACAAATCGCCGATGTTGTGAGGATTGCCATACACATTTTTTTATCACATCGATTAACACTGATTTCTGGATTAACTTTTATCTATAATTTTCTTTATTCACAGAAAAATATTCTTTGTCGGGAAGAATGGAATTACGAGAATTTGGTTTGTTCGATGCATGTGCTGATGATAACGGTGTTAATGATAATAAGGCCCTTATCTTCACATTATCGTTGACACTTCGAACGGATTTGATGATTGCAATTCGCAGATTTTCAGGATAAAATTTGTTCTTTAATCATGCAAATTGCCATATGCTTGTTCATTGGCACTGACAATTATGGAATTACGGTGATTACATGTCTCAAACAAAGGTTTTATATGTTTCGAAGGTCGTGAAGAAGCATCAACGGTTGCTAGGATAGAATAATATAGTAAATAATCTACCCTACGGCCTAAGATATATTTGTTTTTGTTTACTTGTTTAATCAAACGGATCACACGGGGTATATTTCTGTAATCAGATTCCTTTTATAAATAAACTAAAAAGAAGCATACACTTGAAAGTAATCGGATTTGACTAAAACATTACAGAGTTTATCAAAACGTTATAACAGGCTAAAAACAGTCGCCGAAACATTACAAACCAAAGGTCCAAAACACAGTTGTGATACTCGTATTAAACAAATCACCATCGAATAACCATTTCGTGTTTGCTTCATGTTTAGCCATCATCAAACATGGGTGTATACTTTCCTTTGCCCGGCAGTTTATTATTTGAAAGTCGAAATAACATCCCGAAACAAGTTTTGTTTGTTATCATGTAAAGTAAGCAGGACCATTTAATAGGGGGTATATTAACGGTGATATTTATAATTTATATTTGTGGAGCCTCTTGCGAGATATACCGATTAACTGGACGATGTTATCATTCTGACGCACAAAATGTGCAGTTATTAACGTGTTCGGTCAACGATTTTATTCATATTGACGCGCACGTGCGTGCGTGCATGCAAGCTGACCTAGTGTTGACTGGTTGGTTGTTTGTTTAACGCCGCACTCAGCTGAGGTGAAATGGGGTTTAACGTCGCGTCCAAGATTGTTGCACGACTGCTTGTACTTGTCCGGATCAAATCCTATTTTATAGTGCTAGCAGACTGAGTTACCTTGCCGCAGTTTAAGATGAATATCACACTCAGATACTGTATACTGAGCCGACCAGTCCTTGTTTTAGCCCCTTAATGCCGAGCGTCAGGCAGGGTAACAAGTACCATCTTTAACGCCTTTTGGTATGATGCGGCCGTGGATCGAATCCCGGACCTTCTGCACTGCCACTAGATCGCGTAGGTGGTCTGTGGTTTAACCGTGTTGAATAGTGTATCACTTACTATAAGACGCCTCGGGAGTTGGATATATAAACCTTATAAACCACATGCATACAGATAAAATACTGCCACTGGATGAGCAAAGGGGGAACACGTCGAAGCAAGTTGTGGCGCCTTTGACCACTACCCGTGCACCATTGAAGGGTTTAAACTGTGCTGTCAGGGTACAAATGCTTAGAAACGTCAACATTTCTTCATCCATTGCAACCGACCCGTGAAGATCCGTAGTAGAATAGGTCTTCAGCAACCCATGCTTGCCGTAAAAGGCAACTATGCTTGTCGTAAGAGGCGACTGACGGGATCGGGTGGTCATGCTCGCTGACTTGGTTATTGCATGTCATCGTATCCCAATTGCATGGATCGATGCTCATGATGTCAATCACTGGATTGTCTGGTCCAGACTCGATTATTTACATCCATTGCACCCCTTTCGTGTAGATTCTGGGTAAGAATATAAGTCCCCAGCAACTTATGCTTGTCGTAAGAGACGACTAAATATAAAGGGTGGCTACGCAAATCATCGTATGCTAGTAATATAAATCACTGGATTTTCTGGTCCAGATTCGATTATTTACAGTCAGCCGTCATATACCTGGAATATTGACGAGAGCGGCGTTAAACAGCAAACAAACAATGGTTTGGATTTTTGCAAAGGCGATCAACCACTGGTACACCTGGCCAGAGTAATGGCATGGCTTTTGAAGGAGAAAAAGCGTCACCAGTAGTATCTTACATGTGAATGATACATTATCTGTGTAACTAGTTCCTTGTGTGGGATTGGTACATTGTCTCTGTGTAATTAGTTCCTTGTGTGGGATTGGTACATTGTCTCTGTGTAATTAGTTCCTTGCATGGGATTGGTACATTGTCTTTGTGTAACTAACTCCTGGTATGGGATTGTCACATTGTCTTTTGTAATTAGTTTCTTGCATTGGGATTGGTACATTGTGTTTGTGTAATTAGTTCCTCGTGTGGGATTGGTACATTGTGTTTGTGTAAGTAGTTTCTTGCATTGGGATTGGTACATTGTCTTTGTGTAACTAGCTCCTGGTGTGGGATTGGTACATTGTCTTTTGTAATTAGTTTCTTGTATTGGGATTGGTACATCGTCTTTGTGTAATTAGTTCCTCGTGTGGGATTGGTACATTGTGTTTGTGTAATTAGTTCCTTGTGTGGGATTGGTACATTGTCTCTGTGTAATTAGTTCCTTGTGTGGGATTGGTACATTGTCTTTGTGTAATTAGTTCCTTGCATGGGATTGGTACATTGTCTTTGTGTAATTAGTTCCTTGTATGGGATTGGTACATTGTCTTTGTGTAACTAACTCCTGGTGTGGGATTATCACATTGTCTTTGTGTAATTAGTTCCTTGTGTGGGATTGGTACATTGTCTTTGTGTAATTAGTTCCTTGTGTGGGATTGGTACATTGTGTTTGTGTAACTAGCTCCTGGTATGGGATTGGTACATTGTCTTTGTGTAATTAGTTCCTTGTGTGGGATTGGTACATTGTCTTTTGTAATTAGTTTCTTGCATTGGGATTGGTACATTGTCTTTGTGTAATAAGTTCCTTCTGTGGGATTGTTACATTGTCTTTGTGTAATTAGTTCCTTGTATGGGATTGGTACATTGTCTTTGTGTAACTAACTCCTGGTGTGGGATTATCACATTGTCTTTGTGTAATTAGTTCCTTGTGTGGGATTGGTACATTGTCTTTGTGTAATTAGTTCCTTGTTTGGGATTGGTACATTGTCTTTTGTAATTAGTTTCTTACATTGGGATTGGTACATCGTCTTTGTGTAATTCGTTCCAGGTGTGGGATTGGTACATTGTCTTTGTGTAATTAGTTCCTTGCATGGGATTGGTACATTGTGTTTGTGTAATTTTTTCCTTGTGTGGGATTGGTACATTGTGTTTGTGTAATTAGTTCCTTGTGTGGGATTGGTACATTGTCTCTGTGTAATTAGTTCCTTGTGTGGGATTAGTACATTGTCTCTGTGTAATTAGTTCCTTGTGTGGGATGGGTACATTGTGTTTGTGTAACTAGCTCCTGGTAAGGGATTGGTACAATGTCTTTGTGTAATTAGTTCCTTGTGTGGGATTGGTACATTGTGTTTGTGTAATTAGTTCCTTGTGTGGGATTGGTACATTGTGTTTGTGTAATTAGTTCCTTGTGTGGGATTGGTACATTGTGTTTGTGTAATTAGTTCCTTGTATGGGATTGGTACATTGTCTCTGTGTAACTAGTTCCTTGTGTGGGATTGGTACATTGTCTTTGTGTAATTAGTTCCTTGTGTGGGATTGGTACATTGTCTCTGTGTAATTAGTTCCTTGTGTGGGATTAGTACATTGTCTCTGTGTAATTAGTTCCTTGCATGGGATTGGTACATTGTGTTTGTGTAATTAGTTCCTTGTGTGGGATTAGTACATTGTCTCTGTGTAATTAGTTCCTTGTGTGGGATTGGTACATTGTGTTCGTGTAATTAGTTCCTTGTATGGGATTGGTACATTGTCTCTGTGTAACTAGCTCCTGGTATGGGATTGTCACATTGTCTTTTGTAATTAGTTTCTTGCATTGGGATTGGTACATTGTCTTTGTGTTATTAGTTCCTTGTGTGGGATTGGTACATTGTCTTTGTGTAATAAGTTCCTTGTGTGGGATTGGTACATTGTCTTTTGTAATTAGTTTCTTGCATTGGGATTGGAAAACCGTCTTTGTGTAATTCGTTCCTGGTGTGGGATTTGTACATTGTCTTTTGTAATTAGTTCCTTGCATGGGATTGGTTCATTGTCTTTGTGTAATTAGTTCCTTGTATGGGATTGGTACATTGTCTCTGTGTAATTAGTTCCTTGCATGGGATTGGTACATTGTCTCTGTGTAATGAATTCCTTGCATGGGATTGGTACATTGTCTTTGTGTAATTAGTACCTTGCATGGGGTTGGTACATTGTCTTTGTGTAATTAGTACCTTGCATGGGGTTGGTACATTGTCTCTGTGTAATGAATTTCTTTGCATGGGATTGATACATTGTCTTTGTGTTATTAGTTCCTTGTATTAGATTGGTACATTGTCTCTGTGTAACTAGTTCCTTGTATGGGATTGACTCTGCTTTTAGCTATTTCGTATGAATATTTCCTAAAGGTATCAGTATCTATTCTGACATCGCATTGTAACAATGAAAACGTTGAAATTCGTCAGAAACTTCTGTCTTCTGGCGTCAATGATTTTACATCGCACCTCGAAAATGGTCAGTTAATATGTGAGTGAGCGATGTTTTCACACAATAACAAATACTTATAATTTCATGTTATTCTCGGTCCAATATTAAATACTCGGTAGCTAGACGTTAACGGAAAAGTCACTTCAATATCATTCATCGTGCAACGTTGTCAATGATAAGTTGACGTCAGTTGGGGTGAAGGTCAG